TTTAAAAATCCGAGGTCAAGGTCATAGTTCAAGGTCAAGCACACTTTAAAAGTCGCCGTACCCTATTAAATCTTCATTTTTAGAGATATTGGAAAATTTCGGCCACCACTGCGACAAATTTGTCTCATCGAGAAGCAGTAGCACATTCAAAAAAATCGGAGGTCAAGGACATAGGTCAAGGTCAAGGTCACCTTAAAAGTCGCCGTACCCAATAAATTCTTCATTTTTAGAGATATTGGAAAATTTCGGCCTTCACTGTGTTCGTCTCATCGAGAAACAGTAGCGAATTCAAAAAAATCAGAGGTCAAGGTCATAGGTCAAGGTCAAGGTCACTTTAAAAGTCGCCGTAACCTATAAAATCTTCATTTTTGGAGATATTGGAAAATTTCGGCCGCCACTGTGTTCGTCTCGTCGAGAAGCAGAAGCACATTAAAAAAAAATCCGAGGTCAAGGTCATAGGTCAAGGTCAAGGTCACTTAACGTAAATATTCGGATTCAAATTCGAGTAATGATTTCGCTCAAAATTAGCATAGGTACATATGCCCATGGCACGCTGAGTTCGAAAATGGTGACCTTTTTTCCTAGGTCAAACCTTTTGACCTTGAGAGGTCAAAAAACTGCGCACCCTGTAGAATCTTTGTTTATGGTTCGATTGGAAAAACTCGCCCACCAGTGTGTTCGTCTCATCGAGAAGCAGTAGCACAATAAAACAAAATCAGAGGTCAAGGTCATAGGTCAAGGCCAAGGTCGCTTTAGAAGTCACCTACCCTATAAAATCTTCATTTTTAGAGATATTGGAAAATTTCGGCCGCCACTGTGTTCGTCTCATCGAGAAGCAGTAGCACATCCAAAAAATCTGGGGTCAAGGTCCTAGGTCAAGGTAAAGGTCACTTTAAACGTAATTATTCGGATTCAAATTCGAGTAATGATTTCGTTCAAAATTAGCATACAGATAGCCCATGGCACGCTGAGTTCGAAAATGGTGACCTTTTTTCCTAGGTCAAACCTTTTGACCTTGAGAGGTTAAAACACTGCGTACCCTGTAGAATCTTTGTTTATGGTCCGATTTGAAAAACTCGCCCACCAGTGTGTTCGTCTCATCGAGAAGCAGTAGCACATTAAAAAAATCAGAGGTCAAGGTCATAGGTCAAGGTCAATGTCACTTTAAAAGTCGCCGTACCCTATAAAATCTTCATTTTTGGAGATATTGGAAAATTTCGCCCACCAGTGTGATCGTCTCATCGAGAAGCAGTAGCATATTTGAAAAAATCTGAGATCAAGATCATAAGTCAAGGTCAAGGTCACTTTAAAAGTCGCCTCTCGAAGGAGGGGCGTCGACCCCAGCCAGCAAGTTTGCTCCGGGCCCAAGCAGGCTCAAGTGCGGATTGCCCGATATTTTTAGTCGGGCTAAAGTCGGCTAGGGCAGGCTTGGGCTAAAGTCGGCGTATGACACAAAAACACCGACTAAAGCCCATGCTCTGCCGGAGGTATGCCCGCTCTGCGAGCTCCGGAAAGCCAATCGTCGCTCAAGTATAGTTGAGCGACGATTGGCGTTAGCCCGATTTAAGCCCGAGCAGTGAATCCATTTATATAATGGAAATTATTCTGGGCCCGAGCGGGCTGAACTCCGGCAAGCCCACTCTGTGTGCCCTGTCTATCCCGACTTAAGCCATAGAAGTGAATGGGGTTTATACATTGCAAACTGCTGTGGCTTTGCTCGGGTTCGGCTCGAGTGACGGCTCCTGTTTTCTCAAGTCTCGACTTGACTTCATCTTGCTTTTGCTTCACACTGGATCAAGTTAGCAAGGAGCAGCCATTGCACTTTCAGTAGGTTGTGCGGTTTCAATGCATATTTAAAATTGTTACGGTCACTCATATGCTCTGTTAACCGGTCATCGAGCATTGCGAAAGGAAAGTAGTGGTTGACTTTAATTGAATGTATATTTCAAACGACTACAGACACGTCAAATGGAACACAAATACATGAAACAGTGAACTGCATACTGAAGCAATACATAATATGGCATGAGTCATGAAAAAGCGCCATCAAAACTATAAAACAATCACAAGGCCCGCTAGCCTCCCTCCCCGTTCATAATAGGTACTTGGTAGTTGGTTGAACACAACCGAAAGCATAAAGTAAGGACAGCAAGTAATCGCTCATAAGACAAAGTAATTAGCAAACAATCGTTTGTAAGGAACTCTGGTGAATTGGAGCTTTGGAGGCGTCTGGCTCCTCCACACACACACACATCTGAAGTAGGTGGTCGGCCAGCTTTCGGCGCAGTTTCCGTATATGTAGGTATAGGTACCTACTTAAATTATAAGCCGGCAGTTTCCGCTAAACCACTGGGCGAGGGCGACTGCGGCGTGACGGCGTCCACCCGGTCCTGGTTTGTATAACTATTCCATTTTTTGGAACCATCTGCTCTAATGGTAGGGTAGACCGGGGCAAGTCGCCCCGCCGAGGTAAAACGCCTCACCGATGTTTCTCGGAACTGGCAGGGTTCTGGGGAAACATCATCTCTTCTATAAAACGTGCACTATATGATCATTATATGAGCAGACTGGAAAGAAATTGTGATGACTCTTTCGGGAGATATAGCCAAAAATGTGTTTTTTGAGTGATTTTTATGTTTTGTTGTCAGATTATGTATCATGGCGTTCTTTTATGGTCCACATTAGGTTAACGACTTTTATGTATTTTGAACAACTATTGTCTAACGCTTATCATGCCGGGTTGGTTCGTGTTAAATTATGTCTTGCTGGAGTGCAAGGCGTTGTTCTCTGACCGAACTACGTGATGGGGTAAAACGCCCCAGTAGGTCGCGGGGCAAAAAGCCCCTGGGGCGTTTTACCTCATGTGTTGTTCGGGCTACCCACTTTCTTATGTTCGGTAGCAGGCGAACAGTAAGTTTCTATGCCTTTATGTGTATTTTTCTCAGCAACTGGATGGCAAAGGAAGTATTTTGTTAACATTTGCATTGCAATAATTTATTATTTGGTCTTATGAGGTAGATGAAAAACCTGCTCATACAATAGTGTCATACCTGAGCACCTGACAGGATGGAATGTGCTAACTTCAGTGCCGTGCCTCCAGAGGTCTAACGGACCTCTCACATAAGATTTAGCCAACTACCATGTTAAATCTTTAATCTAAAGTATGGGGCTACTTGCCCCAGGCCGTGGGGCGTTTTGCCCTGGGGTTGGGGCAAAATGCCCCATTTGCAGTTGTTTCACAAATCACTTCCTAGCTTGGAGTCTGATCATAAGTGAATCAATTTGAGGGGTGCAATTTAAAGTAAAATGTCCAAAGAACGCATTGAGCACAAATTTGGCCTTCCAGGTGATGTGGGACAAAATTTATGTAGCAAAATAAATTATCTGGGGCGTCTTGCCCCAGGCTACCCTACGTACCTGAAAAAGAGATTAATTGGTTTAATTTACATTGCATGTTGGCTTGAAAAATAACTGTTGCATTAATACTGTAACAGCACTTCTCATTGATCCGTATAAAATGTTCATTCGATTTTAAACGCGGACAGAGAATGAGCGTGCTCGGTGATAAGTAGATAAATATTTGTGTTTTGTATTTCATTTTCCTGATTCAGAAGTGCTGGTATTTCACAAAGATATAAAGGCACGGAATGCAGCTTTTCTGAGCGAGGGTATAAGTCGCCAGGCTGAACAGCTATTCAGCTTCATGTTTGATGGCGTTAAACTCAGTCAAAATCATGACGTTTACATACGATCAAGCGCACCATTCAATACCTACACTAACCTACCGTAAAGCTCCATGCCAGTCCACTTGATAAGAGCAGTGAGCACTTTCCCTTCTTCGCGCTGTCACACGCGCCCAAACATCAACCACCAAATGCCCCAACACCACAAGTATGGCTAAGCTCCGGCTTTACTCCAGTTAGCCGAAGGACACAGTCAGAGCTGACTGTGTCCTTCGGCTAACTGGAGTAAAGCTCTTGCTCAGCCCGCGCTCCGCCCAAGTTAAGCCTGTTTTGGATGCGCGGGCAGATGTCGGGCTGAGCTACTGCTATCCGCACGTGGGCATAGCTGCGGCATGCCCCAGCTCAGCCCTAGTAAAAAGTACATTGGTAATTGGTTTTGATCAAAGTGGGCAAACCCAAGCTAAGCCCAAGCTGCCCGACGTTTGCCACAGTTCAGCCCAAGCAAAATGCTGGCTGGGGGGGGGGGGGGGGGCGTCGCGCCCCTTCGACGGGCCGATTTAGGGATGAAGGAGGGACTTTAAATCCCTGAGAGGCTTTTAAAGCGATTCTGAATCCGACGCTGTAGGTATTCGTTGTTGCTGCTGACGCTAACTTTACGGACCGGGACATTCATTGGAGGTGCTGACGGACATCTTCACTTCTAGGACTTCACGGACATCCATGCATAAAGGCCTGGCTGCACTATGCGTTTTCTGCGTGCGTTTTTTGCGAGTTTGCGTGATTTGCCGGCGTAATATCGTTCTAGAAAGAAACAACATTACGTTTTTGTTATATGTTTTGCATATAAACTTTTAATGAATGTTAAAGTTTTAATTATCTTTAAGTAAATATTGAAGAAGTTATATTAGTAATAACTTTTTTCTAGAAAGATATTACGCAAATCACGCAACACGCAAAAAATGCACGCAGAAAACGCATAGTGTATACCTCTACCTAAGCCAGGCCTTTAGCAAAATCCAATGTTGCAAGTGCGTGGTTGCTGCAACGTCAATATACCCTGGCTGCAACGTACCAAGAAAACGTTTTCACGACGTATTGGCACCATTTGGCACAACTTCCTGTTTTCAAGATATGGTAAATCGTGGGTAAATCATTAGCTTTTTAGTTTTTATGGTAAGGAATATTTACTACTGCGCAGGAAATTTCGAAAGTAAATACTTCAATAAGCACTGGGATATGGAAGCAAAATAAGTCGACTTTGCTGGCGCTCGAACTGCAATCCACCTTTCACCGCGGTTCGCATAGGTCAAACGGTTTATATCAGGTTTATATAGCCTTGGGTCAAACTATAACATTGAACCTATGGTAAATGATAAACCTTAGGACCAGCTCATTTTCAAAGGTAAATTTTAAACATTCTTCCATTTTTTGACAAGGTAACTGACTGGGTGCTGACAGAAAAACTATTTATTAGCCAGCACAACAAATACTGATGGTTTTGAATTTTGATCAGGGTTTATGAAGAATTCTTAACTGTCTGTCTTGAGCTATGCCGGATGTAGAATAAGCAATAAGGAATAGACCAAGGGTTCATGGTGATCTGTTGTAATTTAAGCTATGCTGGCCAGTTTTTCAATGCTTAGATTAGATTGAAAGACACATGACATGGACAATGACATAGATAAAGGGAAAATTGTTCCCTTGTTATGTGAAGGAGTCTTGAATATGCTTAAATGCTAGTTTGAGAGATATTGTAACAAATAGTAAGAAAATTAACCTCACTCTTATTCTACCTAAAAGTAAATTCCGGATTCAAAATAAAACAAACTTTTTGAGAAGCTTTTGGCATTGAGCCATCATCAGAGAGCTGATGATCAGAGAGCTGATGATGGCGCAATGCCGAAAGCTCATGGGCGGCGCCACCGTGGGGTACGTGGGGTACTAGTACCCAGTGACGTACCCAAGGGGGGGGCCACGGGGCCCTTCAGGCCCCGGTATATTTTTTTCAAACACTGGATAAAACGTCTTTTACTAGGGAGAAAAATGATATCGAAGTTTCATTTATGTGCCCCTGGTTACCCGAGGGGCCCCTGATGACCCGATGGGCCCCTGCAGTCATCCGAGGGCACCCGGTTTCCTGGCCCCTGGTCGCCTAGGGGCCCCTGGTAGCCGGGGTCTGGTCGCATGGGGGCCCTGATTGCCTGGGGTCCCTAGTCGCCTAGGGGGCCCTGGTAGCCGGGGGCCTGGTCGCATGGGGCCCCTGGCCCTGATCGCCTGGGGCCCCTAGTCGCCAAGGGGGCCCCTGGTAGCGGGGCCTGGTCGCATGGGGGCCCCTGGTTGCCTGGGACCTCTGAGGGCCCCTGGTTGCCTGGGGGCCCCTGGTCGCCTGGGCGGCCGGGGGGCCCCGGGTGACCTAAGGGCCCCTTCGGAAGCAGGTGGCCCCCTCCTGGGCGAAATCCTGGGTACGTGCCTGCTAGTACCCCACAGTCATTTGACTGTGGGGTACTGCATATACCCAGTACCCCACAGTCAGGAGCCCAATCTGAACTTTTTCAAGACTTTTTGGTAGTCGTGCAATGGCCCTCTAAAACCGTTAAATAGGTTCTAGCAGTGATCAAATAACTATTGCCGACAGAGGGCCAATGCTGAAAAATTTAACAGGCGGCTGTTACAGGCCCCTACTGATCGGTGGGGCGCTTTTAAGGCCTGTCCTGTCGTGTATTCAGAGGGCTTTTATGTAGCTTAGAGGGGCCCCTGTCAAGCGATTAGGGACCCTTATAATGTGCTCAGAGGGCCCCGTCAAGGAATCAGGGACCCCTTCATGAGTTTAGAGGGCCCTCTCGTGTACGCAGGGCTTTTCTGTAACTCATAGGGCCCTCGTCAAGCGTACAGAGGCCCTTTAAGCGCTGGGGCCCTTCTGTCGCTCAGAGAGGCCAGCCAGACGTTCAGGGGGCCCTTTAAATGCTCAGAGAGTTTTCATGTAGCTCAGAGGGCACCGTCACGCGCGATTAGGGGCCTCTTCTTGTGCTTAGAGGGCCCTGCTGTGTACTCAAAGGGCCTTTATGTACCTTAGAGGACCCCGTCAAGCAAGCAGGGCCTTTATCATGTGCTCGGAGGGCCCTCACCAAGGAATTAGGGGCCCCTTCATGCGTTAAAAGGGCCCTCTCTTGTACTCAGGGCTTTTCTGTAGCTCATAGGACCCTCGTCAGGCGTTCAGGGGCCCTCTAAGCGCTGGGGGCCGTTTTGTCGCTCAGAGAGCCCAGTCAGGCGCTCAGGGACCCTTTATATGCTCAGAGAGCTTTCTTGTAGCTCAGAGGGCCCGTTACGTGCGATTAGGGGCCTCCTCATGCGCTTAGAGGGCCCTGTCGTGTACTCATATGGCCTTTCTATGGCTTAGAGGGCCCCGTCAAACATTCAGGGACCCCTGCATGCGGACAGAGGGCCCCGTCGTGTACGTGGAGGGTTTTCTGTAGCTCATAGGGGCGGCCCCCTCAAACGTTCAGGGGCCCTTTATGCGTTTAGAGTGCCCTTCTGTCACTTAGAGAGCCCTACCAAACTTTCAAGGGTCCTTTATATGATCAGATAGCTTTTATGTAGCTCAGAGGGCCCCATCACGCGATCAGGGGCCCTTCATGCGCTCAGAGGGCCCTGTCGTGTACTCAGAGAGCCTTTATGTAGCTTAAAGGGCCCCCGTCAAGCAATCAGGGACCCTAATTATGTGCTCAGAGTGTGCCCATCAAGGAAGTAGGGGCCCCTTCATGCGTTTAGAGGGCTCTCTCGTGTGCTCAGAGCTTTTCTGTCGCTCAGAGGGCCCTGCCAGGCATTCAGGGGCCCTTTACATGCTCAGAGAGTCTTCTTTAAGATATGATGGCCCCGTCACGCGCAACCAGGAGCCTCTTCATTTGCTTAGAGGGCTCTGTCGCGTACTCATATGGCCTTTTCTGGCTTAGAGGGCCCCGTCAAGCAATCAGGGGCCCCCGTCAAGCGATCAGGGGCCCGTCAAGTGATCAGAGGGCCCCTTCATGCACTTAGGGGACTCTGTCGTTTACTCAGGGCCATTCTGTAGCTCAGAGGGGCCCCGTCGAGCGTTCTGTATGCGTTCAGAGGGCCCTCATAAAGAGAGGGCTCTCAGGGGCCTAATCATGCGCTCAGAGGGCCTTGTGTATTCACACGGCCCTTCTGTAGCTCAGAGGACCCCGTCAAGTGTTCAGGGGGCCCCTTCATGTGCTCAGAGGCTCTTTCTGTAGCTAAGAGTAAAGCGTTCAGACTCCGGGCCAGGAAAAGCGACCCGACTCTGCAGTCGGCTCCATCCTCTATCCCCAAAAAGATTATGTAACACTAACACTTGTCCCGTTCTAAAAGCACAATTTCTTACCAAAAATAATGGATTTCAAATTGTGCATGGTAATTACCTGGAAATTGTGTCTTAATCAACCGTCGCCGGCTGAGGGGCCGGCGGGGCCTAAGTTTTTTTTTCGCGATAGCTCCAAACACGCCGGCGATAGAGAGCTGAAACTTGGCATACCTGACCTTTGATTCAAGCCGGATCTTTTGACACCAATCGCACTTTCGGGTCAGGTCAGGTCACTGACTGATGACGTCATAAGTGAACCTCTGCAGTCTGCACGGTCTTTAGATGTCGCAACTTCGCAATGCCCTCACTGCCAGAGGAGATGTCACAGGGAAATGAAACTTGCAGGATCTAGTATCCATTATGAGTCTCACAACTTGTACTCGTATATCTCGGATTTTTCCTAAAGATCATATGAGGTCAGGTTATTTTCGTGACCTCACTATTTAAAGTGAATGGGGAAAAATGAAAACTAAAACTGCTATTCTGGCGCCGGGAACGATCTCCTTCTATCTCAGGCATAATTTCATGCACTTATTGTAAGGTTTCATGCGTTACTTTTGCAATGTTGACCTTGCTGACGTCATTTATGAAGTCATTAAGGTCATAATTTGTCTTCAATAACTCCCGATCAAATTGAGCTAGCGAGTCGGGAAAGCCACCAATAGACTCAGGAAGACCTGCTGAATCGAATGATATGCGACATGACCTCCTTCGATAAGTTGGTGACCTGGGGTCGCTGACCTGACCGTGACCCGAGGCAACACCCTAGGCTGACCTCACTCAAACAAAAAGTATATGATTCGACGCGCCGGAGCGACGGCGACACGATGCTGCCAAAATCGCGGCTCTGCGGCCGTTTTTTTGCGAAGCTATTCATCAAAAACGGAACCCCACCTTGGGGCACTTGACCTGATCTCAGAGGTCACCGGTTGATCTAGGACCTTAAAATCGGGTATCAATCTCTGAATCTTGTAACGGCACACACGCTCGTTTTTTCCGCGACGCGCTAGCTCCACCAGGGGCGAAACGCCGAGGGGGTCGTTATTGCCCCCCCCCCCCCTCGGTCGGCGCGTATGTAGAAAACCAATAGGTCCGGCGAGGGATATACACTATACAGTAAGCAGTGCACAGTGTTAGCTGCATACAGTAGCACCCCGTAGTTAAAAAGTAGTAGAAACTCGTCCATATTCCGTAATATGAACAATAATTGGCAGGCTGGCAATTTATCAAAGCATCTTTGTCGTGACGAAAGGAAGACATTTCAAATAGATGGTAATTTGGCAAATAACGCTGGTTATCTTTGTTGGTAGGTAATAGGTATGCAATACTGCATTAAGTGTTTTTAGTCTTTTGGCGAGGCAAGCCGGTCCCGTAAGCTCAGTTGGAAGAGCGTTGAATTCCACGTGGTGAGAGCACGCGTTCCCGGTTATAGCAGTCCGGGTTCGAAGCGCGACGGGCGCTTGACGTTTATGGGCCTCCTGACAGGTATGGTTGCGGTTGGTGGCAGGCCGTAGCCAGGCAAAGTCAGTGAGGGGACCGGCCGTGCGCGCGCACAGGCCAGGCGCAGGCAAAGTCAGTGAGGGGACCGGCCGTGCGCGGCTATGTGCGCACATTAAACTTTGGACTCTAAATTCTGCCATAGAACTGGAATTTGACGATCGGAGGGTAGAGGGCAGGGTCACTGCAACAAACTTCGCTTAGCGGTGGCTCTGTCCTTGTGAATCCTTCCCATCAAAAGGTTCGGACTAAATTTATAAAAAGAAAAAAGAAAAGCATCCAGGTTCTATCATCTTTCACTGTCGACTATTAGATTGCTATTGCAAGTGCCTTTAACCCACGCCGTGCTGGTGGTCGAGCTGAACACATCTGACGTGTTTTCACCGCTCTAGCACGTCTCTATCAAAAGTTATGGCCACAAAACTACTGGTGACCGTTCATGACCTGAGATGACCTCAGGGGCATACAGAGGGGTCACAGGTGCAGTTTTCCGATTCAGTGTGTATATGTAAACATAACACACTGAATCGGAAAACTGCACCTGTGACAAAACGCTCTCTAACATCGGTTCATACGTAAACGTATGAACCGATGTTTGAGAGCGTTTTGAACGACATTCGTCCAAAAGAGGCGCATTTCAATTTTCTCCCATTGACTTATGGTCACTTGACGTGACCTGGTGACCTGACCTTGAAGACCCGGGTCTGAGATTTTCACATGTGCGGAGAAGATGTATGAACAGGTGTACCAAAAACGGCGGCGCTGGGCGCCGCCATTTTTTAAATATTTGCAAAAAAACTGACCGGGGGGGGGGGGGGGCGTAAAAACTGCCCCCCCCCTACCCAGCACAGCGCGGGTTACGCCATGATAAATGTATGGGCCCTTTTCACCGCGCAAGGGCCCTTTTCACGCATGGGCTCCTTTCACTATGCATGGGCCCTTTTCACCCTAGTACCCCACAGTCAAAAATTCGTGGCGCCGCCCCTGCGAAAGCTTCTCAAAAAGTTTGTTTTATTTCAAATCCAGAATTGACTTTCAGGTAGAATGAGAGTGAGCTTAATTTTCTTACTATTTGATATGTGAAGGATGTCAACCCGAGCATAACACCAAAAAAAAACATTTGTCGGTATGGCCAGGCCTAACCATTACCAGATATGATTATGATTGCCACGTCTTCTCTTGCCTTCCAGCAGCACTCAGCATGGTGCCTGGCATTGTGCCCTGGCGTGCGGCGCTGCGCTCCCGCCACCTGCGCCGACGGCTGTGTACCGCCGTCCGCCGGCCGCTCGTGCTCGGCATTGAGACCAGCTGTGACGACACCGGGTGCGCGGTGGTGGACGGCGCCGGCCGCGTGCTCAGCGACGTGGTGCACTCTCAGCTGCAGGTGCACCTGGACCACGGCGGCATCATCCCGCCCATAGCGCGCGACCTGCACGCGCAGAACATCGGCGCCGCCGCCGAGCGGGCGCTGCGAGACGCCGGCGTGTCGCTGACCGAGCTGGACGCCGTGGCGGTGACGGTGCGGCCGGGCCTGTCGCTCTCGCTGCTGGTCGGCCTGCGGCACGCGCGGCTGCTGGCGCGCCAAGCCAGCCTGCCGCTCATCCCCGTCCACCACATGCGCGCGCACGCTCTGACCGTGCGCATGGCGGCGCCGGAGGTGGCGTTTCCGTTTCTGACGCTGCTCATCTCGGGCGGCCATTGTCTGCTGGCGGTGGCGCAGGCGCCCGACCGGTTCCTGCTGCTCGGCGCCAGCAGGGACGACGCGCCCGGCGAGGCGCTCGACAAGGCGGCGCGCCGGCTCAAGCTGCGCAACCTGCCCGAGTGCGCCACACTGGCCGGCGGCCGGGCCGTGGAGCTGCTGGCGGCGCGCGGCGACCCGCACGCCTTCGAGTTCCCGCTGCCGCTGTCGCAGTACCGCGACTGCTCGTTCAGCTTCGCCGGCCTCAAGTTCACGGCGCAGAAGCTGGCGGCCTCCGAGGAGCAGCGCCACGGCGTGGTAGCGTCGGGCGTGGTACCGACAGCGGCCGACCTGTGCGCCTCGCTGCAGCACGCCGTGGCGCGCCACCTGTGCCACCGCACACAGCGCGCCATGGACTACTGCCAGGCGCGCGGCCTGCTGCCCGACGGCGCGCGCCGGCTGGTCGTTTCCGGCGGAGTCGCCTGCAACGGCTATATCACCTCCTGTCTGCGCCGCGTGGGCGAGGCGCTGGGCTTTGAGGTGCACGTGCCGCCGCCGCGCCTGTGCACAGACAACGGCGTGATGATCGCCTGGAAGGGCGTGGAGCTGCTGCGCGTGGGGCGCGGCGGCACGCACGACCTCGACTCGGTGGACATTGAAGCGCGCAGTCCGATCGGAACGGACGTGTCCCAGGACGTGGCCGACATGTCGCTCAAGTGTAAGTGGGTAAAACTGACGGGCCCAGCCGCTCAGCCACAGTGAAGGTAAATATCACCGGCTAGTCAGCACAGTTGTTCAGGTCTAGTGTGACGTTACGTGACGTGGTTAGGGAACGGTGACGTGTGGCCCTTCGTTGATAGATATTAAAACGGTGTTTATCGTGACATACATACTACGGAACACGAGATAAACAACACGTGCAATAAATGTAATGCCACTGAGCTATTACCGCTCGATTGCCTTCTGTGAATGGCATTGGCTCCCGGCAATAACTTATATTTTTACACGATATTCTCGTTGCTTAAGAAACAGTTGCAGAACTTTTAACCTCGATCGTTGAGGAAGCATTATTAGCTTGAGCATTTCTGCGTGCTATTTATACACCGCAGGCTGCTTGAAAATTAGACAAACACTATTCGTTAGAATTGTGTTATTCTATTGGAAAACAACCGGAGCAGTTCGCTGAAGGACTGCTCCTGGTAGCGGCGGCGGGTGGCAACTATGTAGCTAGTCTGAATAACCTCATCTACCGATATCGTCAGGCTATGGTGATTCCCGGTAATGCATGTTTCGCTTCACACATAACATTTGAATGCCTTCTTACGCTTCCCCGCACAGTCGATCAAAAATGGTCCTTAACTCAGCACAGGCTCTCCATTTCACAGTACACACCACACATGACTTATCAGCTGCACAGCAGCACATGTTCGCTCATAGATGCGGTATGCGTTCACATCGCCTCGACAGTCGTCCACTCCAGTGGGCGTTGACCACGCCCGGTGAGTCTCCCGGCGCGGGGCGGCTCTGACCAGTCTTCCAGGCACCCCGAGCGGACACATCGCGAGTGTGCCGGCGCGGCGCGCTCAGCCGTCAGTCGTTGCCTCCAGTTTCCAGCCGCCCAGTCGTCAGCCCCCTACCGCTCAGTCGCCGGCCCCCTACCGCTCAGCCGCCGGCCTCCTGCCGCTCATTCGTCGCACCCTGCGTCCTGCCGCTCAGGTCGTGCCGTTCAGTTACCGGCCTCTATCAGCCGTCACCTTCTGTCTTCTGCTGGTCGCTCGTCGCCCCCGACGTCCTACCGCTCAGTCCAACCGCGCAGTCGCCGGTCCCCTGTTCGTCTGCCTCCTGCCGCTCAGCTGTCGGCCTCCAGCCGCTCAGCTGTCGGCCTCCTACCGCTCAGTCGTCGCCCTCCAGTTTCCTGCTGACGATGGCCACCGAGCCGAGCGACCCGAAGCTGACCCGGCCGTGCTCCATCTCCTGGTAGCGGCTGGCGGCCAGCGCCGAGTTGGAGCGCGACTGGTGGACGCTCTCGCACAGCCGGTTCTGCATCACCGCCAGCGAAACCTGCCGGCGGCAGACGGGAGGTCAGCGGCACCTGACAGCGGCAGACGGGAGGTCAGCGGCACCTGACAGCGGCAGACGGGAGGTCAGCGGCACCTGACAGCGGCAGACGGGAGGTCATTGGACACACAGCGAGACATGCCAGCGGCAGACGGGAGGTCAGCGAGACCTCACAGCGGCAGACGAGAGGTCAGCGGCACCTGACAGCGGCAGACGGGAGGTCAGCGGCACCTGACAGCGGCAGACGGCAGGTCAGCGGCACCTGACAGCGGCAGACGGGAGGTCAGCGGTACCTGACAGCGGCAGACGGGAGGTCATTGGATACACAGCGAGACCTGCCGGCGGCAGGCGGGAGGTCAGTCCTGCAACTCCTGCACTCTGCAGAGCAGATAGCAGGTCATTCGTGCATGACAGACGGCAGATTCTTTACGCTCGGCAGTTGACGGTTCGGCCGATGCTCGGCGACGGACAGCCCCGCCAACGGACGGTCAGTTGGTCCATTGGTACAAATGCATGCCGAAAATGCAATGGGACAGCTGGGGCGTTCCACGACAAATCGACAAATAAAAAATTAAATTTGCACCCTCATATTTTATTCTTCGTTGAAAACTGGTGTAAGGGGTTGTGATGGGCGGGGAAGCCAGCTGTGGCAAGGGTTTTTTTCTTCGAACAACGGTTTCCAAGATATAGCCTCGGGCAATTCCTGGAGTTTGCGCTGCAGCCTTATGTTTGGCGACCTATAACTCAGAAACTATTGGTTTTTTACGATAAAAACTTTATATGGTTCAACTTACAATCAACCAACAAACATTTTGGCTATCTCGGATTTTCAATTTTTGAAAATTTTGATCACGTGACCTTTTGTCCTATTTTTCGAAGAGTGACCTTGATATTTTTCCCACTGAAAGTTACAATTTTGTCTGATGACGATTAAAGCCTTATCGATTGTCATGCATATGCGATAACAAAAAAAGTGGTTATCGCTCTGCGTTGACCTCAGGTAAGGTCGTTTTTATGACCTGTCCATTATTACGAGCGGGAGCGACAGCGAGATCTCGAGAATAAAGCAAGATAGCGACAAGCGGTAAACGGTAAAGGGTACACACGGATAAGGTCTATAATTTTTACTGAGGTCATTTTCAGGTCAGGTCAAAGATGACGTCACAGGAGCTAAAAGGAAGTCAAAATAGCGGCACTATACATATATATATATATATGAAGTTTTTTCTCGAATAACTTTCAAGGTATCCCAGCTAGGAACAAACTAATAGCACCATCGTGATCCTCTCGTCGATCCGCATCGAAACATATGTATGTTGACCTCGAAAGGTCGAAAGGTCAAAAGTTGACCTTAGATCACGTGACCTAAGGTCAACTTTTGACCTTTCGGCCTTTCGAGGTCAACATACATATGTTTCGATGCGGATCGACGAGAGGATCTCGATGGTGCTATTAGTTTGTTCCTAGCTGGGATACCTTGAAAGTTATTCGAGAAAAACTTCATATATATGTATAGTGCCGCTATTTTGACTTCCTTTTAGCTCCTGTAACGTCATCTTTGACCTGACCTGAAAATGACCTCAGGAAAAATTATAGACCTTATCCGTGTGTATCCTTTACCGTTTACCGCTTGTCGCTATCTTGCTTTATTCTCGAGATCTCGCTGTCGCTCCCGCTCGTAATAATGGACAGGTCATAAAAATGACCTGATCTGAGGTCAACGCAGGGCGATAACCACTTTTTTTATTATCGCATATGAATGACAATTGATAAGGTTTTAATCGTCATCAGACAAAATTGCAACTTTCAGTGGGGAAAATATCAAGGTCACTCTTCGAAAAATAGGACAAAAGGTCACGTGATCAAAATTTTCAAAAATTGAAAATCCGAGATAGCCAAAATGTTTTTTGGTTGATTGTGAGTTGAACCATATGAAGTTTTTATCGTAAAAATCCAATAGTGTCTGAGTTATAGGCCGCCAAACATAGGGCTGCAGCGCGAACTTCAAGAATTGCCCGAGGCTATATCTCGGAAACCGTTGTTCGAAGAAAAAAATCCTTGCCACAGCTGGCTTCCCCGCCCATCACAACCCATTAGACCAATTTTAAGCAAAAAATAAAATATGAGGGTGCAGGGCACTTGTCGATTTGTCGTGGAACGCCCCAGCTGCGCCTTCCCAGGCAAGGGGCCAAGAACGAGCTAAGCGGGGTAGGATTGAATTACTAGAAGCGGAATATCTATTGCAAAGAGCGTTTTCCCGTAACTTAGCATGGAATCCCAGATCCAATCCCAAGGACCGAGAACTGGGACACGGGTGGGTTGCCGCCGGCGCCGACCGATTCGGCGGCTGTCGCTCGCGCCGCTCACCTTGTTGGCCTGCAGCAGCTCTCGGTTGTAGGTGATGTTGTCGAGCATGCTGTTGCGGCGCTGGCGCTCGTCGTTGAGCTCGAGTCCGGCGCGCGGCGTGTTGGCCAGCTGCGGGGAGAGTCGCGGCGTGCCGCGCACCACCAGCGAGCCGCCGGCCGCCGGCGAGCTCTCCTTGGCCGCAGGGGCCGCGGGCAGCGCGCACAGCGCGTCCAGACGCCGGATCAGCCAGTGCAGCGCCTGCTTGATGACGATGGAGACGATGTTGAAGAGCGAGTACATGCAGCAGACGCCGGCGACCGTGAGCAGGAAGTTGGCGGCGCTGTACCAGCCGGTCTTAGTCTGGGTGCCGGCCACCACGTCGCCGAACCCGATGGTGGCGAACGACACGAAGCTGAAGTAGGTGGCCTTGACGTAGTCCCAGCGCTCGCCGCGCGCGTAGAAGAGCGCCGCCAGCTGGAGCACGAGCGCGGTGCAGCCGAGCAGGTAGAGCAGCACCCAGGCCACGGCCGGCTTCCAGCGGTGGGCGCGACTGCTGGCGTCGGAGGCAGCACTGGGCGGCCGCGACGGCTCCAGAGGCATCACCTGTTGCGCCGAGCGTCGCCCGTGGAACGCGCGCATCACGAACGACAGCAGCGTGATGAAGCGCTCCAGGAACAGGTTGAAGAAGAGGATGCCGCCGGCGCAGCCGAACAGTCCGTAGGCGATGAGCAGGAGGCGGCCTGTGAGTGTGTGGGGCGCCGTCCAGCCCCAGCCTGCCGGAACAGCGGCAGGATGTGTTGGAAATGTGCGGCGAATGTGGGCTATTGGAAATGTGGGGCTGGCACATCATCATCACTTCAGCACGACTTAGAAGTTAGAATTATTTCGTGCTTTTGCTTTCCAGATAACGATGCGTGCCATATTAAAATGTAAAATTAGAATGATGTTGTCGTTGCACTGACCGGCTCAAAATCTTATCTGACATTGACCTGTTTCTTTGCACCGTTTCCTTTACTGCTAAGTGCTAACAAGTGATAAGAAGGACGCGGTATAGTTTCCGTTCCCCTACCCGATTACTGGCAGTACAGCCTCCCTCCCCTTACCGATGGTGGAGACGACGGTGCAGCAGAAGTGGAAGCTGCCGGCCAGGTCCCACTGGGGCCGGCCGGAGAGCAGGCCGCGCCGGTCGGCGGCCCGCTGCAGCTGCAGCAGACGCTCCATGGCCAGCAGCGCCTCGCCGCCCGACAGACCCGTCACGTTGTGGCGCAGCGCGTCAAACTCGGCGCGGAACCGGCGCTGCGCCGCCCGCTCGGGCCCGTGCTCCACGGCGTGGAAGAGCGCGGCGCCGGCCAGCAGGTAGAGCAGCAGCAGCGGCATCAGCAGCACGAACCGGCACGTGTCCTCGTGCCGCTGCAGCGGCGGCCAGCAGGAGGCCAGCGGCCGGCCGCTCTCACCGTCCTCCGACGGCGCCATGGCGGCAGCGCCGGGGCCGGACGGGGGCGCCGGATCACCGGCCGCGCCGGGGCTGGAGGGGGCGCCGGATCACCGGCCGCGCCGGGGCGGGCGCCGGCTCACCGGCCGGGGCCGGACGGGGCGCCGGCTCACCGGCCGCGCCGGGGCCGGAGGGGGCGCCGGCTCAGCGGCCGGGCCGGGGCTGGAGGGGGCGCCGGCTCACCGGCTGCGCCGGGGCTGAAGGGGGCGCCGGCTCAGCGGCCGCGCCGGGACGGGACGGGGGCGCCGGATCACCGGCCGCGCCGGGGCCGGACGGGGGCGCCGGATCACCGGCCGCGCCGGGGCCGGACGGGGCGCCGGATCACCGGCCGCGCCGGGGCCGGACGGGACGCCGGCTCACCGGCCGCGCCGGGGCCGCTGCTGCTGCCCGGGCGGTGTGATCAGCTCCGCACCACAGCGTCAGCACGGACCTCCTCAACACACCACACGCAGCACACACCACACACAGTGCGTCGGCCGCCTCAGTGACTCCCAGCGACTGCGTCCCACACGCGGGTCTCAGAAATCAATGTCGCCGTGAGCGGGTCGAGTGCACGGAGCGCGTTCCACGGTCGCCATGACAACCGGTGGGCTGGCCTCATCTCGGCGGGGGCGGCGGTGATTAAGGCAGGCCAACGGGAGGGGGGGGGGGGCGTACTGTACAACTATCCACTATCGAGCACTCTTCAAGCTTTCTTGCATCATTTTCCACCCCGTTTGCAACGCCATTAAATCATTGTATTTAACCGTTCAGCTGACATCGAATATCGATGAAGATATCATAAAAAAACGTTCGAGATAGCATTCAACCTAAATCGTACAGAGCTGGATACCGGACAATTGTTGTATTTGGTAAATAGACGGACACAGACCATTAGATAACAACCGAGCGTAAGTACAAAGCTATGCCCACTCTTCCAGGAGCGAGACGGCGCATCGCTCACCAGACGTATAATAACCGCCAATGCGTCAATAAGCGTTCCGTCGTCTTTTCTGCGGCTTACGGACGGTCTACACAGCAGCCGGACGCTCATTTGGCAGTTAGAGACGTCGTGACGTGCCCTTTCACGATGAGGCTTGCCCGATAGCGGAACGCAAGCGGTTACACCGCTGAAAATGCCCTATGTAACGGCTAAACAAACAGCGCGACGGAATGGTAACAGACCGAGCTGACGCCACTTCTGTAACGCGACACAACCGTCGACGGTTTTATACATGCACCCATCATGAGTTGTGAGGTCTAATGACGGCTAGTAACTCGACCCACCCATCCAACGAGCCCAGCCAGACTCCCCAAATAACAACACCGGCAGCCGGGCCGTCCCTATCAGATCAGTCACAGGCGCGGCCGGCCGCCCCGGCCCCTGACGCCCCGCGCCGCGCCGGCGGTCAGTCACTGGTCGGCACGGGACGCGTCCCATCCCACACCCAGACACCGTGGCGGTCAAATGGAAAACCAACGACCATTTCACTAAACGCATAAATATTCTACGTCCAAAACACTTGGCATGGCTGTCCAGGGGAGCCAATGAGAGATTCACACCGTTCAACAATAAATTCAACAACCGAGCCAGCCATAATATTCGTATGCGGTACTTCGATGTAAGGCACTCTGTATCCGACCAAGCCCTGAGCAACCAGCTATGGATGTACGATTTCATTATTCAACAATCGAATCGGCCAGCCAGCCATAATATTCGTATGCGGCACTTCGATGTAAGGCACTCTGTATCCGACCAAGCCCTGAGCAACCAGCTATGGATGTAGGATTTCATTCATCATTCGGCGCACTCGCCACAGCAGCCCTTTGAACTTTTCAGTTTACTATATAACCTACTCTGGGATCTTTTAGAAAGTTCGGCCCAATGTAGGTTAGGCTATAATCGTGAAGTTTATGAAACACTTTCAATAGTTACGCATGTAAATTATGCAAAAGCATACCACGTAATGCAATACATGTAAATATGGAGCTTAATAAGCATGATTAACAATCTAAAGGTATATAAACGGGTAGGCAGATAATGAAATCACAGTTACAGGTAAACGACAAATACACGTCCAATATAAACACTGAGTACACAAGTGTAGACCTTTCGTCATGGTTCCGGGGAATCCCTCCTCGCGAGGCACCCAGTGCGTCCGCCCCGCAGTAACCAGTACGGCCCGCGGAGCAGGGACCAGCCCTGGGCCGGCGCCACCGTAGCCTCAGACGCGTCACGCCAATAAGCGGCGGTTGTTGAGGGAAGCACTGAGAGTAACCCCACACCAGTCTCCGTCCGGCAGTTCCAAACCCTTCGGACCGCTCCAGGCGACCCAGGGGTACATCACCCCGAGGGGGTCGGGCTCCTCAGTCCCAGACGACCCCTTCCTCTCGTTGTAGCGAAGCACGGCTGTGCTCTGAGGCACCGTCTTTGAAGGCAACGTAGCGCTCCGCTGTCTCGACACACTGACGTCTGGCTGTGGAGTGTAGATCCGGAGCCGCCGGACGCAGCAGTGTCGATCCAGAGCACCGAGTCTGCTCCAGGAACCTCACCCACCGGCCGCCGGGTGCGCTCAGAGCGCCGAGTCTGCCCCGGGAGGCTCACCCGGCCGGCGGCAAAGGGAGAATGGCCGTCGTGTCTGCTCAGCAGCGGCCGTTGGACGACTCCGGGATCAGGTCCGTCTCACCGGACTCGAACATCCGCTGCAGCAGCACCTCCACACTGCGGGGACCTGTCCGACAGAGACGACTGGCGTCAACAGCGACCAGCGACCGGTACTGTCAGCGACCGGTACTGTCAGCAGCGACCGGTACTGTCAGCAGCACCTCCACACTGCGGGGACCTGTCCGACAGAGACGACTGGCGTCAGCAGCGACCGGTACTGTCAGCAGCACCTCCACGCTGCGGGGACCTGTCAGACAGAGACGACTGGCGTCAGCAGCGACCGGTACTGTCAGCAGCACCTCCACACTGCGGGGACCTGTCAGACAGAAACACCCAGCGTCAGAAGCGACCGGTACTGTCAGCAGCACCTCCACACTGCGGGGACCTGTCCGAAAATAGCAACCAACGTCAGTAATCAGCAGAGAATCGATGCCGTCAATGCTGTCAATAAAGCGTCAACATCGAGATGCTGCTCTCGTCGAAACCAATTGGACTAGACATCTTAATTCAACCACCGACACGCCATTAAGCCTGCCACCGTCGTGGCTTGACGAAAAATTACTGTGGTACCAAGAATTTATTTAAGTTTGATCATGGCTGATCCTTTAAACACGTTTCGATCGGAAGAAAATAGCGGTGTCTGCAGCATTAATGTTCCCTTTAACGACCCCGGTGCCAGCTCGCCTCTGTCGATGTGGAAGCGCACCCCGGTGGCGGCGGTACCCACCCCTGTCGCTGTGTGTCGGCTGTACTCGCCTCTGTCGATGTGGAAGCTCTGTAAGTACCCCCCGGTGCCGGCGGTACCCACCCCTGTCGATGTGGAAGCGCCCCCCGGTGCCGGCGGTACCCACCTCTGTCGATGTGGAAGCGCACGCCGGTGCTGGCGGTCAGCTGCTGGCCGCCCCCGCTCGCCGCCGCGCCGGCCGGTCGTGGGTCGTGGTCGGCGTCCAGTTCGTCACTTTCCACCAGTGTGGTGTAGTCGCCGCCGGCAGAGTCGGACGGCGCGCCGCCGGACGCCCGCTCCGGCGCTCGGCTGTGGGCCGGGAGACTGGTGTGACATCGCCACACAGCTCACAGTGCCAGCGGACCCACTCGTGTTCACTGCAGCCCACAGTGCCAGCGGACACAGTGATACATCCGTATCGCTGAATGCTGTATCAAACGGTACAGGTAGTATCACTAATTAACACACAATGTACAAAAGGGCTCACAGAGGTACGGAGTACGGACAAACGGTACGGACGGGCGCACGGATACGGACACACGGTACGGATGTTGACACACGGTACGGACGGGCGCACGGATACGGGCACACGGTACGGATGTTGATACACGGTACGGACGGGCGCACGGATACGGACACACGATGCGGGCAATGACCGTAGCAGCACTTAGCGTAGCAGCACACGCAGTAGATTAACACACGAACGATTTTATCGGATGGACGCACAAAAAGTGGTCACGCCACGGCCCGCATTGAGGACTGAGCGGTATCATCGGCGATTAACACCGCCGAAATAAGTGATCCTGCCATCACGCATCGACCGGGGCCAACAGGTTGGCTATGCCATCCAGTACCGTGTGCACTAATGGACGCCGTCCACGGTGATCACCCGAGCAACGACCCAGGGGCCAGCGCCGATCCGTACCCGCCCAGTACCACACCCAGCCCGGCAATCCAGTACCCTATCGAGACGGCCCCACACAAACCCGTGCCTGCCCAGTCCGAGCCCCAGCCCGGTAATCCAGTCCCTATCGAGACGACCACAGGCACCGGTCACCTACCTGCCCAGTCCGAGACCCAACACAGCTATCCAGTCTCTATCGAGACGGCCCCACACCGTTCCGTACCTGCCCAGTCCGAGTCCCAGCTCGGCTATCTTGCGCTCCACCCTGGTTTCCGTGGTGGTGCGCTCAGTGGTAAACTCCAGGATAAACGCCTCCAGAATAAACGCCGTGAAAATGCTGCAACCAGTCAGACGCTGAAGTTAGGGGCTGTTGGGAATAAGCTTGTCGTTTGATAAAGCACATCAGCTTTGAGTACATATTAATGACATGAGATTCACCCACAAAGAAAGTAGGGAATTCATTACGAACACTCTCGCCCCCCCCCCCCCCCCCAGCTCACGCCGGGCGTCTCACTTGAGCAGCAGTACCACGCAGCAGAGGTGGAAGGCCACGAAGTAGAGGCGCGCCCACTGGGTGGTCACGGCCGCGTAGCCGTCCGCCAGCACGTGCCACTGGTTGACCACCATCAGCTCGAAGAGCACGGCCAGCGCGGCCGGCAGCGAGTTGAAGTTGTTGGCGCAGTACTGCAGCCGGCTGAAGTCGGTGTCTTTGAGCAGCCGGTCGCCGCAGTCGGTCGGCCGGCCCGGTCGGAACGGCGCCCACATCACGCGGTCGGCGAACAGCTCCATGCCGAGCAGCGCGAAAAAGTAGAACACGCACTGCCGGCAGAGGCGGCGTGTGAGCGGGCGGACGGACGGACGGCCGGGCGGGCTGCTGTGGGGGCGTCAGTCTCCGGTGGTAACAGCAGGGTGATAATCAGCGGTCCGGGGACGGCACACCGATACAGAGCTGTTGCTACTGCTGAGTCTGCAAACGCGTGTTCAGGTCATTTATTTGAGAGACACGGTGATAATGCTTCAATTTTCACTACTCATAGGGATTTTTCATTACTCATTCCACACTTCACAGTACTGAGTGAGCACTCCATTTGCTAATTGCTACTATCCATAACGGTTTTGTAATGAAATTTGTGACGCCTAGCGTGTCTTCATAGTACATGCACGGCCGGGGACGGACAGTCCTACTCACAAAGAGCACACCACCGTATATGGCAGACAGCCTCCCCCCCCCCCCAGCGGTCTACTCACGATGATGTGAGGCCCCTCCCCCCAGACGTGGTCAACTCACGAAGAGGACGCCGCCGTAGCCCGTAGGTGACAGAGACAGCCCCTCGCCCCGTGTCCTACTCACGAAGAGGACGCCGCCGTAGATGATAAAAACAGCCCCCCCCCCCCTCCGGTGGTCAACTCACGAAGAGGACGCCGCCGTAGGTGACGATGGAACGGCTGAAGCTGGCGATGGTTCGCAGCACGGCGCGGAAGATGGCCACACTGTCCATCAGTTTGACCACGCGCAGACAGCGGAACAGCAGTAGCACGTCCAGGACCAGCGTGTTACCTGCCGGGGCCGGGGGAAACACGTCACGTCCTGCTGGGGCCGGGGACACACGTAACGTCCAGCACGAGCGTGTTACCTGCTGGGGCCGGGGACACACGTCACGTCCTGCTGGAGCCGGGGCCGGGAGGGGGGGGACACGTCACGTCCAGTATCAGTGTGTTACTGCTGGGACCGGGCGGGACACAAGTCCCCCGTGGGTGCGGGAAGGCTGGGGAGGGTGGTACAGAACACAGAACCTCGCCAGTCCCAGGCGTCCATAACATACGCCCCAGCGGTACCTTACTAGAGCTACCCTCAGCCTCTCCTCTCCGTTGCATGATGTCCACTTCCGCACGACCCCCGGCCACCGGCAGTTTACCTTGCAGGCCGGTGCTGGCCCGTACCACCGAGATCAGGAACGCGCCGCCGATCACCACAAAGTCGAACCTGGCAAAATACGAAAACAATCAGCCCCTTCCCATATTGAGACATCATCTGGCCGTACCGACCGGCAGCAACCGCTCAATAAAAACAAACGGACGCACCGACAAGAATGCATGTGATCCGCCGCAGACATCACAAACTCGAGCGACATGTGGCTTTTCACGCTCGACGTGCTGCGCGATAAAAACTGCCGGACTGGCCGGTCCAGCCCAGCAAAAACGCCGCCCCGGGTGCACTCACATGTTCCAGAGCTTGTCGAAAAACTCGCGGAAGCCGAAGGCGTACATTTTGAGCAGTATTTCCAGTATGAAGGCGGCGAGGAAGGCCCACTCAGCCTGGTCGGCGTCCACAGCGATCGTGATGGCGTTCACGACGATCAGCAGGTCGAAAAACAGCCGGAACGGCCTGCGGCGACCACAGGCGGTCAGACGGGTTAGAAGCTGCAGGTAGGGGTGCTTTTCGTACAACTTAACCCTCGCCCATGTAGGGGGGGTTGGTGCAACCCCCCCCCCCTGAGGTTTTTCGGAAATAGTGCAAAAACGGCGGCGCGCAGCGCCGCCAAATTTTGGGTACCTTATGGGGCAAACCTTGCGCATCTTTTGCTAAAAAAAATTTGACCGGGTCATGCCAGGTCACGGAGTTATGACGTCACAAAGGGAACAGCCTCCGGCCGGATTTTCACAAACTGAGTGCCAACGCCCGAGGTTTCCTGCCGGTGGTACGGACATCGGTTGATGGATCGTGATGAAACTTCCCATGCATGTTGGGGCAAGTATTGGCTATCATATGGTATAAGAAACTTGACCGGGTCAGGTCAGGTCACGGAGCTATGACGTCACAAGAGGAACAGCGTCCGGTACTATTTTTGAAAAGCGCCCGAACCACTATTTTGCTAATTCTTGTTACCTCAATGGGAATATGCAGCAATATTAGCTTCTATAGGGAGCAAATGGACCTCCCAAATCCAAAAATATAATCAGATTTCAAAAATTTAAATTTTGATTTTTCGAATTTCTGCCGCCGACTGTGACCTTGCCGACTTCCGGCGCTCCCAACGCGCCATTTTTAGAGCTAGGGAAACGAAATACATACCAAACGATAGATAATTGATTAAGGAACACGATAGTGAAGGTTTAAAGTCGATATCTCCCACCGTTTTGCCGCAATCGCCGCCGAAAGTTGAAAAAAGTCTATTTTTCCGAAAATTTGACCTTTGACCGGTCAACAGTAGGTCAAATATTGACCTAGGACCAAAAAATATACCACCAATCGCGAGATCTCGGCGAGAGCAATCCGTTGCTCTTTTCCGCTAAGCTCTACGACGCTCCGTTTTCAAACGCCAAGGGGGGGGGGGGGGTCGCACCAACCCCCCCCCCCCCTGCATGAGCGAAGGTGGCAGATCGCCGTTTACGGGCGAGGGTTAAGTTGTGGTTTTTCTGTATTTCTCATTTATTGCCAAATTTCTTTCAAAAAATTTCAAAATTTCAAAAACCCCTATCCATGGAATTCATTGTTAAATTTCATATCAGCTTGAGCAAAAATTGCTCAAAAATATCAAACGATTTTAATTTTACAGCAATTTTACTAAGCCACCGCCGTACTGTCTCAAATAGCCCCACTGTCTCAAATAGCCCCACTGTCTCAAATAGCCCCACTTTACGGTACGCATTTGCCGACACCGGAATCACCATACGTGTTACCAAATACCGTGAAAAGATAGAACGGCACTTTTCAACATTGGACTAGGGGCGTTCGGCGGGCACTGATGACAAGTTCCGGTTTATGGCGTCCGGAGTACGTCACGTCTCGACGGTCATAACATCGCTGAACAAACGCCCTGGCAGCGCGCCTGCTGACACACATATTACAGTTGGTGCTAATTGGAAGGGCAAATTAGCCCCCCCCCCCCGGGCGAGCGGATCCGCTTTCACATTGGATCATCATGAATGTGTGGGTTCATGCACGCTCTAAAGGCCTGAACATTAACATCAAATTCATCGACATCCACCGTGGCCGGAATTTGGGCCGACGAACCTGGCACAAGACACGCGGCAAGTGTCGCTACCAACCACTAGCAATAAACAAATTATGTGCTTACGTGGTCCTGTAGCACCCAGTACCTAGGTATGCTTCAAGTTCAGTCCGAGTGATTGTGAAGAATGTGGTGTCAATAAAAAAACACCATTCTGATTCACTGAACTGTAATTTGCAATATCAATAGGCATCCCAGTTAGCAGCAAAACAAGTTAATAATGGAAGTCAAAACCTGTAGCTGTAACTCTTGGATCCCAGGCACATAATCATAATGATATCAAAAACTACATCAACATAATGATATTCAAAAACTCATTTCTCCCCTAGAGAAAAAACCATTAGCAATGGTCTAATGGTCTAATGGTCTATATGGAAATTGAAACCCTAATGGTCTAATGGTCTAATGGTTTGTAGTGGTCTAATGGTCTGATGGTCAGATGGGCTAATGGTCTAATGGTTTCTTATGGGCTAATGGTCTGATGGTCTAATGGTCTGATGGTCTAATGGTCTGATGGTCTAATGGTCTGATGGTCTAATGGGCTAGTGGTCTAATGGTCTAATGGTTTCTTATGGCCTAATGGTTTCTTATGGTCTAATGGTTTCTTATGGTATGATCACCATACCACAAGAAACCATTAGACCATAAGAAACCATTAGGCCATAAGAAACCATTAGACATGTTTTCTGATAGTCTATGGGTTACCAATGGTCTCAATGGTAACAATGGTTTCTGGTGGTATCTTGTTAAAACATTCATATGGTGCAAATCCGATCTATTAACATTGACATTCCACATGGTACCTAATACATGACATTACAGTCCCCAGCATTCATTTGTTTCCGCCATGTTCGGTCCCATGTATGTACAGGCACGGATCTTTTTCAGCTGTGTATATTTTCACATTTAGAGCCTTGTCTTTTTTCCAATGAAGGTCTAGGAATTTTGTTTCGTTATGAATCGGGATCATTTTCAGTGTATGCTCCGCCTGTGTCTTCTGCCCCTCGCTTCATCATCTGTGTCCGTAGTTAACCTGTAACAAAAGTGCACCTTTACATGGTTGTCTAACTTACCTATAATTACCTATAATTGTTAGTTGAGCTTTACATTTTTTTTACTTTTTTATACTTTTGATTATTTGATCATAAGTTGAAACTTTTAATTTTCTATAAAAAGGAGAACTGGTAAATGCACAGGGTGGCTCACGTAAAACACCTAATTTGAAACTTGAATACCTTCCTTCAGTCTTAATTAAATTGGAAGATATTTTCACACAATGTAGGTGCATATGTTTGGGATTATATTCATCCAATTTTCAGACAAATCCGTTCACTTTCAGCTCAGTTGTGCATCTCGACGTGACCCCATCGTTTTCAGTAACTTTCTTGAGGCGCTCGTGGTATGCCAGCGTATATTCCCTGCGCACCTCGACGGTGATCCCTGCAAAGGCGGCGATCTAACCCGACCTTACAAGTTACAACTCCAGAATGCTCGCCGACCACGTCACGTATACCTTCGAGTTCATAAACCCCTATATTAAAAAATCACATGGGGTGAGATCGGACTTAACTTAACCTGCCCTGGCTATACCCTGGTTACCGCGCTTGCCCAATCTGCTTTGCCGAATCTGCCCTGCCCCAGCCCATCGCGCCTGGCCGACCTCACCCCGCGTGACTTTTTCATGTAGGGGTTTGTGGAGTCGAAGGTATACGTGACGTGGTCAGCGAACATTCTGGAGTTGTAAGGTCGGGCTAGAGCCGCCTTCCCAGGGATCACCGTCGATCAGATGCGCAACTGCACGGAAGCCGCGCTGGCATTCCACGAGCGCCTCGAGAAAGTTACTGAAAACGATGGGGTCACGCCAAGATGCACAACTGAGCTGAAAGTGAATGGATTTGTTTGAAAATTGGATGAATAATCCCAAACAAGCACCTACATTGCGTGAAAATAGCTTAAATTTGAAAGCCTCACGTGAATTTTCATACGGCCTGTAACATATGCACTATGTACCTATAATAGGCACATTAAACATTACTTACTTCTCAGTTCTGATGGCAATTTTTTTGGGGGGGTGAGCCTTTGCTTCGTCTCACACCCTTGAATCCGGTTCCAAGGTGTGCAGGTGACTGACCAGTCTGCTCTTCCCCCTGCTCTCGGTTCTCGTGGCGCTTCCTCTCCTGCTGGCGGTGGGTCTCTCGGGTCTCTCTGACTCTACGACGCTCACGGCGACGCTCAGCGTTCCGCAACGCTTCGGTCTCGCGCCGCGTCTGCGCTAGCCGTTTACGGCGACGGCGCTGGGCAACGGCGTTCGCATCCCGAGCCCTTTTGGCCCGCACGGCGAGGCATCTCCAAACCTTGTCACGCACACAAAGTAAACACACTTTAACTACAAAGCACTACATAATTAATAACACTTAGGTATGGCGGTAATAAACAGCGGAATCTTTCTCGGGTAATACCGTTTCACCGATAACCTATCATATAAAGCAGCACAGAAGGAAGCGAATTGTAAACAAAAATTTCACAAGCGGCAAATAAAACTGAAAAGATTTGCCCATTGTTGCTATTCATTCTTTATTATTCCTTAAGCATCCTCGGAATTAGGCGAGTTGTGTTCTTTAACACATTGGTTCCTCTGAATCAGGTGATTTATTGGTGAGTTACTGACAATGATGTTTCATGATCTCCCAGGCAGGAAAACCGCATAAGTTACCGCAAAACGCGGTATGCGGCATTCGAATAACCGTAAAAAAATAATGGAGAAAATGCTTCTAAAATACTAATAGGTCAATAATAGGTCAATGATATAATAGGCTAGTTATATCTTAAAATACTAATAGGTCAAAGGTCAGGTCACCAGAGGTCATCAGAACTCAGAAGATCAATTTTTGCCATTTCTTAACAAATTTTGACAAACCGGAGCAGAACTCGGGAGCCAATAAAGCCTGCAACGCCGCAGGAAAACGCATTCGATAGCTCTTTTCGAGTTGGTAGAAAAGTAATCTTGGCTCTTTTAACCCACGAGCCGCTACAGGGGGGGGGGGGGCATAAAGTTGCCTCGTATGTGTTGTGTGATATCCTCTATATTCAAAGGATGTCATTTGGTCCGTTATATTCAGTCTAATATATCGGATATATCGTAAGAAGACTCACCTAAAATTGGACTTTTGACGTCACTGTTACGTCATTTCAAATGGTATCCACACCAAATTTGGACACAACCTCGGTTAGCTATTCAGGAATATGTGTGCAAACTTCTGAGTACCTATATCGACAAGGCTTTGCTTCTCTATCTCTTCGCGTTACGATGATAGTGCTGCAGAAACAGGGCAACTATTATGCTTCCTCCCCCCTCCCCCATTGCCCGGCGGGTGGGCGGTGGCGCAGAGGCCCAGCAGCCGCCGGGTTAACCCTTTTTCATGTGTCCTCAGCTCTGAACTAAATGACCTCCAGAGGGCAAAAATTCTAAAATAGCTATCTTTATGAAAAATGTGTTCTTTCATAACTTTTCTCTGAAACTCGGAAAGTTTCAAAGCGATCGTTCAGACCGCTGTCGATGCAGCACTCCTTACATAATAAAGCACAGTTAGTGTTTAACAACATATTCAAGATCAATAAAAAGCCATTACAGGACCATTAAAAACCATTAGAACACCATTAGACCATCACAATTTTGAAAACATCATAAATGAAAAGATGTCATCAGAACACCAACCGAAACCATAAGAATACCCGTTTGGAGCCCAAAATCAAAACTATTGAAAACCATTAGGAAACCATTAGACCACCATGTATACCATTTGAAACCATTAGCGACCATCAGAAACCATAACAATACCATTAGAGACCATTAGACCATTAGACCATCAGATCAAATTCCATTAGAAACCATCAAACACCATTGGAGACCATTAGAAACCATTAGGACACCATTAGAGACCATTAGAGTACCATCAAATTCCATTAGAAACCATCAAGCACCATTGGAGACCATTAGAAACCATTAGAACACCATTAGAGACCATTAGAGCACCATCAATTTTCATTAGAAAACCATCAGAAACCATTAGACCATTAGACCATCAGATCAAATTCCATTAGAAACCATCAAACACCATTGGAGACCATTAGAAACCATTAGGACACCATTAGAGACCATTAGAGCACCATCAATTTCCATTAGAAAACCATCAGAAACCATTAGAATACCATTAGAGACCATCAAAAACCATTAGAGACCATTCAAGACCATTAGAAACCATTAGAAACCATTAGAAAATCCTAATGGTTTCTAATGGTTTTTTCTCTAGGGTCTCAGATCAAACACATTCTTCCATATTGATATACCAAGAGCCTAAAACTACACCTTATCAGTATGCACCTTGCAATCCAGGATCCCAAATTCTTTCAATCCGATGAGTTCGCCGATGAGGGGATCCTCTTGGGGATCCAAATTGGATCCAACATAACAAAAACCAAGATACCTATAAGAAACAAAAACATCACAGTTGATACATTTATTGCGCTCAACAGACATATAATGAGGTAGCATCTTTTCATTCATCAACAGCAGTGACGCATAAAAGCAGAAAATTACCCAATTGGCAGCCAGAACATGACATTTTTTCGCGGGCCGAGCAGAATCAGCAATTCAACAGAACACTAGTAATGCACGTGCATCGCATGCAAGGCTATCCATAGATCGCATGTATCTAGCCTTGCATGTATCGCAGGATTCGGCTTGTCACGGGGACGGGGTCACATACGAGGGTCGGTGATAATTATTTATGATTGAAGCGATCGTTTGGAGTAGAAAGTGATTGAAGTCGCCAATTGTGTCGCCAAGTCGCCAAGTTGTGCAAGACTGCCCTGCGACTGTGGCATTGCTATTTACAAACTTTCTCAACAGAGCAAGAGAGAGAAGTTCCTGTTTTCATTTTCAGGTAAGTCAAATTGCGATTGTCATGTGCATCAGTTACTAGTATGGTGCCTTTCATAGTAGTTTGGGTGGGAATAGTTTTTAAATTATTTGTTGTTGTTGTATTGTGTATTAATTTCACCACACTGACACAGCTAGTGGTGTGGGTAATTTTTATTGTTGCTCAGTGTAGTGCAGACGGCAGACACCTTCAGTTCCTGCAGGATATCTGTTTCCCGAGTAAAAACAGGTTTTATGGTTTTCCATAATTTTCCTAAACTCTTGCTTGCTTACACCAACATTGGCAAATACTAACTGGGGAGTGAGTGCTTTGCTGGTCGATATGAGTGTATCAATTGTTTTCTTTATTTGTTGCTGCAAGCAATTAAGCTAACAATGATAATGAGCAATCAAATTTGAAAATAAAATATTTATTGTTAATTACATCACTTGAATTTCCATGGTGTAACACCCAGTATACCCTCCCAGCCCATGTCAAACTAGAAACATATTCTACTAAGTAGGTACTAGAAGGTTCAGAGTTTTGAACTTCATATCGGATTCGGTACCTTAGGTACTGACAATCCTGAACCTGACTATCACACATCTTCTGGATGGAACATTTGTTTCATCCATTATTTCCTTGACAGGTGACACATGGGTGACAGGGTGACACAGGACTTTTTTGCCACCCTTCATTTCAGTTAACATTGAATGAAGGTAAACTAAACCTTACCTACCTACCCAACTTTGCCTTACCCTAGTTGGTCATCAGGAATCCTGATGACCAGTGACCTGTGACCTGATTCAGGATAAAAGGTCACTGATCGACCTGTGGGTCCCACTCGTATCGAGTGAAAGGCATTATTGGAAACTGTAAAGGCTGTGGACCTTAGTCACCTTAGTAAACAAGAAAGATTTGATTTTAATTCCGGGCTCTCTCCTGCTCTGGCCGAGACGCCGACATGCTGAGCAAAATGTGGAGGCTCGACCAACAAAATGCATCAATTTTGGCGACGTTTGCTTAGGGTCCTGACACCCTAATTTGAAATGTGATGAATTGTAATTCTAAGCCACGAACAACCCAGTTGGAACAATGCGACCAGCGCGGCCAGACCAAGGGCTAGACGGCTACGCGGTCGAAAATTGCCGTTGTGGATCGTAAACTGACCTTTGTGAACTTAGGTACCTACTTGCTTTTTTCCGTTTGACGGTATTCCAACGCGACCACGCCACATAGCCGGAAGGAACATGAAGTTGATACCACAGCCATTCGCCTGGGACTCGGTTGTTTAGTGGTATGAATGTTCCTTGATTTTTCGCAGTGTCTAAGTGCAGAGACCATTGGCATTGGGTGCTGGTTAGAGCCCGGGCTTATCGCTCCCGGCGAACAGTTCCAATAAGGATTACCGGACTTCAGTTCAATTAACCATCAGTTCGGTCGCGTCCAATTCAATTAGGGGCCATCGACGCGGTATCAACTTGCCACTGGGTCTGCGGCCGCGACTGCCGCCGGCTCCACCAGGGATTGGAGGTGTCGGCCGTCGGGGCCGGGTGGGTAACAGACGCCGTGAGCGCGCCACCCCCCCCCCCCCCTTGGGGGCTGGTCCGCGCGTGGGAGCGATGTGGTGGCGGGGGGCGGCGTGTGACAGAGAAAGGGCGTGGTCTGTTACGGCTGGATATGCTAAAGAAGGGGCGTGGTCGCCGGGGGGGGGGGAGGGGCAGCGTCCGTCAGGGCTGCTGGGGACGGACAATGTCTTACCGGGGCACGGGGAGGGGCGAGGTCTGCCAGGATAGGGGCGAGGACTGGGTCTGCTGGGTAGAGGCGGGCGAGGCTGGGAGGTCCGGGAAGGGGCGAGGTCTGGTGGGATTTGGTCTGCGGGGTAGAAGCGGGGCGGTGCGGGAGAGGGTCGACGTGGGGTCTGCTGGGGAGTACTGAAACGTGATATGGTTAGCTCGGCTCGAGAGAAGAGAGTTTGACAAGTAGAAGCCAGAAGGAGAAGTCAGCCCTAGAGAAGGGTCTGCCCAAGGAAGGGGACAGGGTCGGCTGAAGAGCAGCCAGATGACTCGGGATCTCCCACCCCACCTTACAAGTGCCTGGCTCGCCGACTTCTGCAGCTGGCACCGTGGTGTTCCGGACTTCTGGGTGCGTCTTACGTAACGCCTCGGTCCCCTCGAGTCTAGATTCCTCTGTCTCCAGACTCCAAGTATGACGCTGTGCCCTGTTATATCCGCTTGACCACACGTAGAACATTCTCGAGCCAAGAGATTCGCGGTGTAGTCATAATTAACGTGACGTGCGGTGTTTATTTGGACGAGTGACAATGTCTCGGAGTGCACTGTCCGGGTCAGTGGCCGGGCCGAGTCTGAGCCGGATCGTGTCGGCCTTGGCCCGCCGCCGGCGCCGTGTTGTGACGGCGGCGGCCGGAGCACGTGGTCGCCCAGCTGAGCGCGTCGCACGAGTAGGCGACCCCCCCCCCCTCCCCTGTTCGACGGCGGGGGGGGGGGGCGATGCCAGGGGCCGATAGTGGTCCGCGGCGGAGAAAAACCGGCTATATCGAGGTGGCGGCCTTGGGCGGCACCATGGCCGGCCGGCCGGCCGAAAACACGGCTCTCTACTCGGCCGGAGCAGGTCACGTGACGGGCGCCCTGCGTGCGGCGCGGCGTCACGTGGATGCCCGGTGCGACCCCGTGTGGATCGCAGTTTTACGGCCCACCACCTGCAGTTTTGATGTCCGTCTACTCTGCCTCCCCATGATGGCTCCTTGAACATTGAGGAAACTCGTGGATTAAAACAAAAAAGTCGGGATATGAGTATTGCGTCTGCGAGTGTGCATGTGCAATGAACACATACAAAGGTGTGCAATGTGTTCTGTATGACTGCGAAACTGGTAGTACCTATCCGATGTGTCTGCCATGTAAGTACATAATTGATCAAAGCCTGTTAAATTTTAGCCTTCATTTGTAGACTACGTCAACATTGCCCCGGCTTGCGGCATAGCTCGTTTTACGTCTCAAATGTGTGACGTCTTATACACTTCTTTCCAAATTATCTAGCTTTTATTCTAATTCAGTATGCTTCTGGCAAGTGGCAGGGATCTGTGCTGGATAAAACATGCCATCATTTGGCGCGCACAAAATCTTAACCGAAACCGCAGCCGTTTAAACGGCAGGAAGGCGTTCTTGGCAGTCGCGACCGGGCTGCGAATGCCTACTGGCCTGAGATATAGCCATCCGATCGGGAGCTCAGGGCACCAATTGTCGCGGAGTGACTTGAGGATTCTCAAGTTTACTGAAGCCGAAACTAAATCATCCGTGTGGCCAATAAATCTCGACCAATGCAATCCAGGATATCATTTACTTACCCACGACGCATCATTTCCCACTGTTTATAAATGAGTTGCTATGTTTGAAAAGGCGAGAGTTGTATGTAGGTAGGCCAGGCATAGCGCAGTATCAGGTCAAATTGTAAGAAGGAAGGCATAAATCGCGGAAGATCGGGGCCGTTGATCGGGATCGGGGCAGATCGGACTTCGAGCCCACTGACGACTGAATGTCAATTCTGAAATACCTACAGGGTGTCCAGAAAAAACGGATACTATTATTTTTTGCTGTAATTCCGAAAATAAACACCTTACAATTTAAAATGGCACATGCTTGTATTCGCAAAAATATGGCAAAACAGACAGCAGGTGCCACATGGCATGTTAACCCGGCAGTTGCTGGGGTATTTCGCCACCCACCGTTTGCTGGGGGGGGGGGGGAGGGGGCGTTAAACGCCCCCAGCCGATAACTCGAGAACCAATAGGCGCAGCGAAACGCACGAGGCGGCAAACGAAAGAGCGCGACGAGACGCTTCAGATGAGCACTTTAAAGTTGAATTTTGAGGTCACAGGTCGGGTCAAGGTCAGGTCAAAAACCTGAAATCGGGCTTTCAGTAGCATGGACTTCAGGACTTCGCAATGGGCGCCTCTCGTCATAAACTCTGTCAAAACGGTGCACAATCCATCATATAAGGCCTACAAGAGTGTCAGCTCCAAGTAGGGGTCAGTCAAGCATAGGTCAGGGTCAAGGTCAGGTCAACCGGGTAGGCAAATATCCCCGAAAATCAAAACTGATATTCGCAGCCTGTGACACATGTTTCATGGGTAATTTGGGGCGTAGAACACGATGGTGACATTCATTTTATCATATGTGTACGTGTTTGGCTAAAAAAGTTCGATTTAAGAAATGCATGTATCATGGTCGTGAAGAAGTCACGAGAAATTGCCAAGATTCAGTTGAAGATTTTGGAAAATGCGGAACGACAATCAACTAATCGAAGATAGCCATTTGATTGTTCATGGTATTGGCAGTCTAATGGCGTTTACGGCATGCCTGTATGTCTATTCTGTGATTTTATATGATTTTTTGAACATATACCGTTTTTGGTCGAAAACTCAGAAATCATGACGTCACTAAAACCTCGATATCTCAAAAATTTTCCGTCCGATTTTTTTTTTTTGAAACTTTGTCACAATACACTTCAATCAATTCCCTACAGGTACCCAAAATTTGGCGCGCCTGCGGCGCGCCGTTTTTATGCTATAGCCCGGCGAAAAAAGTGGGGCGTTTAACGCCCCCCCCAGCAACTCGCGGGTTAACTCTTTGGTTAGTAGCGGCAGCTCCTCAAATGAGTCAAAGCAGATACTCAATGTGAGCGGCCTTACGGCGGATCAGCCCCAGCACTAGCACGGTCTGCAGGTGACTGATGGTCATGTTGACCATATCGGAGGGCAGCCAGACAACTTTCCAACGACGCATTACAGTGCTCATGAGTTTTGCCAAATCTTGCACTATAAGCGCATGAAGTTGGAACAAAATCGGCACGTGCGTTAATGAATGCGACCTAATTTCCGTAGTATCTTTTTTTCTGGACACCCTGTACCTTATCGGTTTGGCACTGGTAACGATCCTGGTCTAGGCTATGGCGTTTGTAGAAACGATGCTCGATCAGTTGAGTACCTACCTATGCCTCTATACTGTAGCTATGAACTCGGGTTCCCCTGACATTACGAATGTTTCCTCAATAGGTTCACTTGTTTCTAAAAAGCTAAACATATAGCCTACGTCCGTTTCTTTGTTGGATCCACTGCTCAATCCCTGAACAATCGTACCGTTTGTGATTTGGTAACGCTGTTCTTGCATTACGAACACGGTCTTATACCCAAGACCAGAAGAAAAATCCCACTAACCGTCCCCTTCTCAGCCCCATCCCCGCATTTTTCGAGCGCGTTCCGTCTGCACGCAGAGGGACCGCTGGCTCGGCCGCCGCGCCGATGCCGGGTGGCGCCGCCCCGCGGCCCCTGGCGCAGCCCGAGTGCTGTTCACGGGCACCTGCGGTTCCCAGTTCTCACCGCCGCCGACCCCCCTCAGACGGCTGTCGAGCGTCGGCGGCGACGGTGGTCGGCGTGGGGGCGGACGGCGACGACGGTGTGCTCTGTGGTGACGTTTTTCTTCAAGGAGTCAACCGGAGGATCGGCGGACCTTTGGTGCCTGCGTGCTCGGTCGGGTACGCCCCAGCTCTGTGCTCGCCGGGAACCCAGCGGACGCTCACACGTGAGAGGACGGTTCGGCGTGTGACTCTGCTCCACGTGCGGCGCAGGCGATGGAGGGCCCGGCGGAGGGCGTGCACCGCGCCTTCTACCAGCTGCCGGCGGCGGAGGCGGCGCGGCCCGGCCGGCCCGACCACCCGGAGGCCCTGAGGCAGTACGTCCGGGGGCAGATCATCGGCAGCGAGCGCAGCTTCCTCGGACCTTACGGAGCCAACAGAGGTGAGAAGGGGACCGTACGGAGCTGACAGGGGTGAGAAGGGGAACGTACGGAGCTGGCAGGGGTGAGAAGGGGACCGTACGGAGCCAACAGAGGTGAGAAGGGGACCGCACGGAGCTGGCAGGGGTGAGAAGGGGACCGCACGGAGCTAGCAGGGGTGAGAAGGGGACCGTACGGAGCCAACAGAGATGAGAGGGGGAACGTGCGGAGCTGGCAGGGGTGAGAGGGGGAACGTACGGAGCCAACAGAGGTGAGAAGGGGACCGTACGGAGCTGGCAGGGGTGAGAAGGGGACCGTACGGAGCCAACAGAGGTGAGAAGGGGACCGCACGGAGCTGGCAGGGGTGAGAAGGGGACCGCACGGAGCTAGCAGGGGTGAGAAGGGGACCGTACGGAGCCAACAGAGGTGAGAGGGGAACGTGCGGAGCTGGCAGGGGTGAGAGGGGGAACGTACGGAGCCAACAGAGGTGAGAAGGGGACCGTACGGAGCTGGCAGGGGTGAGAAGGGGACCGCACGGAGCTGGCAGGGGTGAGAAGGGGAACGTACGGAGCCAACAGAGGTGAGAAGGGGACCGTACGGAGCCAACAGAGGTGAGAAGGGGACCGCACGGAGCTAGCAGGGGTGAGAAGGGGACCGTACGAAGCCAACAGAGGTGAGAAGGGCACCGTACGGAGCCAACAGAGGTGAGAAGGGGACCGTACGGAGCTGGTAGGGGTGAGAAGGGGAACGTTCGGAGCCAACAGAGGTGAGAAGGGGACCTTACGGAGCCAACAGAGGTGAGAAGGGGACCGCACGGAGCTAGCAGAGTTGAGAAGGGGAACGTACGGAGCTGGCAGGGGTGAGAAGGGGACCGCACTGAGCTAGCAGGGGTGAGAAAGAGACCGTACGGAGCCCACAGAGGTGAGAAGGGGACCGCACGGAGCTGGCAGGGGTGAGAAGGGGAACGAACGGAGCTAGCAGGGGTCAGGGCGGGGCCGCACAGACTCGGCAGAGGTGGGGGGGGGGGAGGGCCGTAAAGAGCCAACAGGGTGAGGGCGGGACGGAGACGGAGCAAACGGAGGTGAGGACGGGGCAGGGAAGGGTCGCGCAGGACTAGTTGAGATGAAGACGGGACCTGTGGATTTGTGTGGACGGGACGTGTGGGTTTTGTGTGGAACTGTGGACTAACTAGACGTGTGAGTTTGTGTGGACGGGACGTGTGGACTTGACGTGTGGGTTTGTGTGGACGGGGCATATTAGAGTGAGAATGACTGCGGTTGCAATGCATACCTATTGCATATGTTGTTCGCCTTTGAACTGCGGATACCATTATTTGTTTGCCACATCTTTTAATGCATGTAATCTGCACACATGCTTTTGTTATTGAGATACTTTAATTATGATACAATGCAACATACTATCCTTTTGGGCTCATCTTATCTATGGTTTCGTCGGAACCATTAGCGAAACGACCGCGTCCGTTTCATTTTATCCGACTTGCGTCGCAATAGGTACTGGCCTCGAAGCCAACATTCATCATCACGTTTTGAAGGCCATCAACCGCGCTGGCCGATTTTTGTAAGCCCGCGTCCGGTTTGGTTGGGCCTCTATGTCGCTAGCTAAGTTCTTCACATCTGAGTATCAACAAACAAGCCATCAGTTTGGCTTTCTGTGGCCACAACAGTTGTCCTTTACGGCGAATTGGGCACCGGTTTGACGCAGTGAAGCTGCACCATTCAGCAATGGAGGTCGCGGCAGTTTCGATTTCGCCGATCAAATTTTCCGTTTCAAAAGTGCACAGTGAGGTTCGCACGCTCCTGTAGTGTGGAGCGTCATCAGCCATCAGCAGCCTTCCTACTAGCGAGGATAAGGACTCGCCCTTCAGCCGCTGGTGCCGGTCTTACGAATCGGTTCAATTCAGCAGATGCCATCCTTTCCCAGTTTGTAGTTTATTTCTTTTCCCAGACTTATATGATGTAAATATAATTCCTTCAACTCGTAGGGATGGCGTGCACGTGCAGTGATTGCATCAGTTGCAATATAATGATGAGCGCGTCGGGCGCTGAAGCGGGTGTCTCGTTTTTGTGTTTCAACCTTCATGAAAAGTGAACACGCCGTCGCAATTCTTTCTAAATATTATCTCAATTCTCAACAGGCACCATTTGACCTTGAGCCCTATCATGGCAGACGACCCGTGTTGACTATCTGTTTACGATGACTGAGGGCGTATCGTCGAGGAAATCCCTGCATCCATCTGCATACCGTGTTTGCTTTCGGTCACGTTGCAGCGTCTGTAGGTAAACATGATAAATGTTTCGGGCTTCGAGCTCCGGTGATGTGTAGGGCCAATGCTCGTGCTGCGGTGCTGCAGGATTGGACGTAAAGGGCCTGTTGTGACTCCTGCTGTCTATTGTGTCTTGACGCCTGTTACCGCTGGCCATTGTGTTTTCCTTTTTACATGTCTAGTTAACTTTTATGGGCGTATAAAGGTAGCTCACCCTGATGAAGATTAAGGTATTTAATTAAGCTAACAGGCGGCCAGGACTGGTATATGCTGGTTTGATTCGGTGGGCATGTCGTTAACGTCGCTCAGCGGCCTATTCTTTGCCGTAAACTATCATTCGGGGTTCATTCGTTGCCGTAAAGCCGTCCGCCGGGGTTGTGTGGCGTCTGATTCAGCCCCTCACTCAGTGGGTATCGTGCGTACTACGCAGTAGGGCGATTTTTTTTGTGACAGAGTACGAATACGGCACAGATGGTGGTACATTTGTGGCGCTGTTACAGCAAACACGATTCGACTTTTGGCCCGTACGATGGAAATCATATCCCAGAATCAGGTAGGTACCTATAGTTGTGTTTTTCTTTTCAGTGACATTGCTTCTATTTGGAAATGCAGTTATTCTTTAGGCCAGAGTGAGCCATGGTTCCAAAATCTCCCTGATCGATTCGTGTGACGCGTTTTGGAATAAAGTCTCATAGCGCGAAAATTAATCTGAGTCCAGTTTTACCAACAGAAAAATAGCCGCCTGCCGGATTTTTTTCGCCAAAAGTCGTCTCAGACTTTGGCCTTCCAGGCGAGAAAAAAGTGATAGGTACTGATATGACTCATTATATCAGCCAGTCTAACTGACATGATAGGTAAGTCACATCGGTATAATTTTTTCTCGTCTGGATGACCAATTTCGGGGATGGCTTTTGGCAAAAAAAAAAAAAAAATCCGGCAGGCGGCTATTTTTCTGTTGGTAAAACTGGCCTCTGTACCAGTTTTCTATGTATCTATTTTGTCGAGGGTTATTCCGAAGTCAGTGCACCTCTCCGTGTCCTTTATCTCTGTGGATACCCACGCCATTTGACGGGCTCCGTTTCTGATTTCTGACGTCAGCTCAGGTCCTCGGACGGCCGTCCTCAGTGCGTAAGAGGAGGCGCCTCAGATTACGTAATTGGTTCTCGAGACCGGTCCCGGGCGACGCGGTCAGCTGTTCTGCTGGCCGCGGCGGTGGCTGAGTGGGAGCTCCTACCTCCCGCCCGCCAGCCGGGTCAGCTCAGCTGGTGGCGGTGGCCGGTCCGGCGCGGGTAGTGACCGCCCTAAGGATGTTTGTGACCCACTGTGACTAATGGCATAAGGCAGTCCGTCGCTCGTTTTTCCATGCGGTCTGCAATGCTTACATTCATAAGAATGACTGGCCTACTTTTTAATGTTGCATTTTGTGATTGCTTATCTCTGGACCTATCTACAGGATCGAGTATGCTCATGGCCAGTCGCCAGTGTGTGTAGTCGATTCTCCACGATGTCGACACATTCTCGACTTTTCGGACGGAATTTTAATTCGCAATTAGGAGCATACGTGGAGCCTCTGTTCCGGCTTTCGTATTCAGTGCCGGCAGCTGCCATGACCGCCCCTGAAGGACATCAGTTGAGGTCGCAAGAAGCGCGTAAGTTCTTCTAGACCGGCGTGAAGAGTGGGATAAAAGTACCTTTTCCACGGCGCAAACAGTGGTGTCCGGTGGACGAGGTCTGCGTGAATGAAGCAGTGTAATCATGTTCAGGACCTCCTTTGGTCCTGTGGCAATGGTCCTTTTGTCATTGAGTTTTGTTTCTGTACCGACACGTGCCGCGGCTGCCGTGCTAATCACCGGCTGTTGTTGCCAGTCGCAGCACGAACGGCCGGCACATTGGCACATACATGGGCTGACCAGTGTGTTTGACGTGATAAATGCGCCTATATACTGGCAACGAACGTCGGATGTGAGATCTGATAGGCCTCACGAAAGCGGTTGCAAATGGATGGAGCCGGTATTAACCAGACAAGACCGTATTACCAGACCTCAACTGGCAGCTAGCAGACTGCAGGCCGGCAAACCGATTGCTGCTGAACAAAGTCTTATCGCTGCCTTATGTGGAGCAATCTTAGAAAAATATGCGATCGACTTAAGTGTAAATAAGCGCATGTCATTTCTTTACGGCATGTTCTGCGCTCTGCAACTGCTATCTGTTGACCATGGAGACGAGGCGGACTCGTGCCATTATTCAGGGGCCTCCGGGACGCGGAGACTTTAGATACTGTCTGATGTCGCGGAGGCTGCCAGCGTCCATCAGGTCGGATCAGCGGACAATCGTCCCTGGAGACTCGAGATTCCACAGTAGACCCTGACTTTCCCTGAGAGACTCCGACTGTGATCGACCACCCTTTGGAAACTCCAAACTCTATGACGGACTGATCCAGCAGACTGACTCCAGGACAGACCAGGACGGTTTCCCAGGACAGACCAGGAAGGTCTCATCTCCCAGGGCAGACCGGGACGGTATCCCAGGACAGACCGGGACGGTCGCCCAGGCCCCCCCCCCCCCCCCAGTAGACGACAGTCTGTCGCCGACTGCCGTCCCTGATTCTGCTGCGGCCTGCGAATTGCGATGTGACCCACAGGATGTGAAACCTATCTGCACCGCCGTGCATAGTTCCAGCGTTTGCCATCACTGGCAGTCCGGTAGACAACTTTCCTTCTGGTGTGCGCCTGTCTGGGTCACCGAATACTTCCAGATTCCTAGTCCATTTAGCGACCATTTAGCAAATTTATGCTATTTGAAAGTCATTTTTGCACTCTCCTGTCATTTTTATCTTACCTTTATCTGTAATTTTTACGGTAGATCATCCCTTAACTGAAATCAAGTGTGTGGCTCCCCTGGATAGTTCGGAGAGCTGGGTCCAGCTCCGTTATTCCTTCCTCTTTAACCACGTAAACAAAAGTAGGTCCCATGTTGTGTGGTTCGCAGTGTCTGTACTGATGGAGTTTAAATCAGACCATAGCATGGCTGAGAATCTATGTATATGAACGCGAATTTTCGCTCGTTTTGACCGTCAACTTGCGCCAGTTTTATCATTTGTCGCTTTGCCCAACCGTCTGCGTCATGTCCGAGCTAGTGCCGAACCGCTGGCGGTTGATAACGTGCTCACTATCAGCCTTTGTGTCGGTGAAGTGGGTGGTCCTCATCTGATGCCTATGTAGTTTGTAAGGTGACTTTGAGTTCTCTCCGGATTGGGGACAGGGCCATGAGCGCTGCTGCTCTGTTTCTGAGTTGAGTGTGGTGTTCGGACCTTAAACGTACTAAACGCTCGGGCTGGTCTGATTAGTTATTATGATGGAATTTTACGTACGATATCGTAGATGAGGTGTAACTCGATGCCACTTGGCACTTGTGATTGAGTTGTGAATCGTCTGGTGGAGAGGACGTGGGTGCCTCGCTTTGATTCCTCTTTGAATCTCGCTAAGCTGGACCGCATATCTATGGTGGTGGACTAAGATTCCGTTAGCAAAGGACAGGACTATTTCGACCGATATTTGCGAACGATGCTGCTCTGCACAGCGTGCAGTGCGCAGTTGGAAATCAAATTTCATTCTTAAGAGTTACACTTCCCCTGCTTATCGTCATAAGCCAGGCAGGTCCGGTAAGCATACTACGGGGCGGTCCGTTAACCTTTCGTGAGCAATTTTCAAATGGTCCCCTGTCGGGCCATTTTGAGACTCCGCCGTGCCACTCGGCAGCCGTCACGGAGGCTGAAGCGGCTCCTGCCTGCTGTGCACAGCGCACACCGCGGCGCCACGGACGGTCGTACTGACTGGGTGTGCAGGGACTGGTACGGCCAGGGGCCGTATTCACGTCGACTTCGTAAGTCGATTTTCTTTCGTAAGTATAATTTGGTATTCACGTCGACACTTCTTAAGTTTTTATCGACGGAGTTCACGTGATTAAAAAAATTAACTTAAGAAGTAGGTCAAACTTAAGAAAATTCTTACGAAAATGATCGACGTGAATACGGCCCCAGGTACAGTAGGTCTACAAAATAAGTCCCCGCCGTATGCGGGTCACCAGTGGGCAGTTAGCACCTGAGCGCTACTCGGGCGCCACTTGCCCGCATACGGAAAGGACTTATTTTGTAGACCTACTGTACGATCACAGCGACGGGCCCGGACAGTCGCCTTGCCCAGGGACCGCGCTGCCGCCGCCCCTGTCGGATGACCGTGCCGGACAGACGGCCTCGGAAGCTGAGATCACGTGCAGGACCTTTCTGACTACTGATAGCAATGGCACGCGCCGGACGGTCCGACCCCGTCCGGTGGTCTCATGGCAACAGGCTGCTGTCGGCCCGAGTGTCGAGATGAGGATGCAGTCTGGACCGGCTCTGGAAGCCCTCCGAGATTGATGAGGCGGAGACTGTCGGTTAGTGTTGGTGCTTCATCAGTCAGAGTGATGGTAGAGTCGACAGAGCGTGGCGAGGACTTTGTAAAACCCGGCATGCATGGTGCGTGTGTGTGGCGTGTGCTGTTACAGCTCTCTCCCCAAATCCGCTTGCAGTCGGCGCGAATTTCCACGGAGAACCGAACGACCACCACTCATGATCGTTGGACTTTCGGGAACCTGCTTCTTGGGCGGTGGATTGTGGCTAATGTTGCGCTAGGCACTCTGTACTAATCAGGGGTCCGCCTCCCCCCCCCCCCCCAGGTGGTGGTACTCACCGTGACTTATCGCCGGTACCCCAAGTACTCTCCGGGACTGACCGGTACTCTCCAGAACTCTCCGGCACCTTCTTTAGCGAGCCTGTATTATCCGGTCAGCGAGGCTCCACCCGCCCGCCCTGCGGTGGTCAGGTGCTCCGTAGGTTGAGGTGGACCGGCCCAAACCGGCGCGCACCGGCCCGACACGGCCGGCCGCGGCGCCGGCTGATATGCACAGCGCGGAGTGGCTGACCGCTACCGTCCACCGCGGCCCGCGGCGTCTCCGGGCGGTCGGACCGGGGGATGGATATAGGACCACCTCTCACTGTAAACCAGCCTGACTCTGAGGGAAAGGGGTTCACGGAGGACCAGGCGATTTTATTTTGCAATCCGACCGTTCTGCGGCTATTTATTTTGATGAAGAAAATGCAACCGGCGCTGGCGATCTTTACATAAGTTTTACTATTGATCCGCCGCAGAATGTTGTTATTGGATGGGAAAGTGAGAACCTCATCACTAGCCGTAAGATCTCCGATGCGCCATTGTCAGTTGTCATACACCGGTGTTCTAATCCCCCCTTAGCATGTGCACATTGGCCCGCACGGCCCTCAATCGGCCCCTGAGCGGGAGGTGGCACCCCTCTGTCCGTCTCATGACCTGGTACCGGCTGGTAGCTCGACGGTTTGGTCACGCGCGCCGCAATGGCGCTGACTGAGCTACAGTTCACACGTCAGGCCCTCGTGAGGTCCTTTGGCCGGCCAAAGGTCAGATTTGGTATCGTTAGAGAGCTACTGAAAACTGTATCGGCGAGAGATCACGACGATTCCATTCCAGTACACTTAGTGCTGTCCCGCTGTGAGCAGCGCAAAATCCACCCGCCGCCACGCCCTTTATGTTGTTATCGGTGTAGGATGTCGCGCAATTAACTTCAATAAATATCAACAACGCAATCAACTTCCCCATGTCGATCAGTTTAGCCATCATATGGCACCACTTTCTAATGTAAGGATGAAGCTGTTGCCTGTTTGTACGTATCGCTCGTCTAGTGTTCGTGTATCTGCCACCAGCCCTGCCGCCGGCTGTCCCGTACTGTCCCAGCCCCAGCGGTAGGTACTGCCCTGTTTTGTCCCGCGCCTTTGGTGCTATCCGTCTGGCGGGTACCCTGTATTCCCACCTGACCGCCCCTCTGTGTCTCGTGCGCAGCGGTGTACTGCGACCACACTGCGTCCGGCAAGAGCCTGCGCTTCATCGAGGACTACATCCGTGACGAGGTGCTGGCCACCTACGCCAGCACGCACACCACGTCCACCAACGCCGCCCTGCAGACCACCTCGTTCAGGTGAGCACCGGACCACAGTGTCGGGCTGGGGTGACACCCCCCCCCCCCTGCACCGGGCCTCCGTGCCGAACCGGGCCGGCCCCATGGCGCTGGGTGGGAGTGACACTACGACCGCGTCTGCACTGTCACAGCGCGTGGTCACTTTGGAGCTGATATGCTACGAAGCAGCAGTGAAGCTTCGTAGAGGTTGTGCTGTATTTTCAAATGTTATGCCATTGCCAAACCCGGAAGCAAAGTGCACATGCTCAAAACCTGGTCCTGCATCTTATGCTGAGCGTCTCCTTAAGGTGCTGATTATATCGGAAATCAAAGAAGAATATAAGAAGCTATAAATGACAAAAACAAGTCAAATGTCATGAACTACTTTGCCATTTGACTTGACGAGCCATTTGACTTGTATTTATGCATCGAGTACTCTGTGCCATGGATAGAGGCGAAATATCTGTGCTAGTTTTGTTCGATCTATCGAAATGTTTCGATGTTGTGCCGCATGCCACACTGTTAGCGAAGCTCACCCTGTACGGCATTGATACGGACTGGTTCCGAAGCTATTTGTACGGCCATACCCAGCAAGTCCGCGTGAGCTCTATTGGGGGACGGCATCAGCTATCTAGGACTAGGGAGAATACCATCGGTGTGTTCCAGGGCGGTGCACTTAGCTGTATCATGTACATGCTGTTTGCGAATGATTTGAGCCTTGGACTGCCGAGTGACGTCACTACTGTACAATATGCCGACGATACGCAGCTATTAGTATCCGGCAGCAAGCGTGACATCCAGAGAATCATCAGCAGCATGGAACACGCACTCAGCTATGTGTACAACTGGTTCTGTCACAACGGGATGAAGTTGAACACCAAGAAGACACAGATGGTTGTGCTGGGAACACCCGCGATGCTCCGTACGCTGCCGCCTGTTGTTGTCCGCTTCTGTGGCAATGTTATAGCCGACTCGAGAGAGGTTAAAAACCTCGGTGTGTTCATTGATCGCCACCTCAGCTTTGAGACACATGTGACATACATCACAAGAAAGTGTACAGGCATATTGATAGGGTTATCTCATGCGCGCCATGTCATGCCAAAACAGACGCTGAAGGTGATTGTTGAGGCACTCGTCCTGTCCGTGGTTCGATACTGCCTATCCGTCTACGGCTCATGCGGAGTCACCCAGCGCGACCGTGTACAGAAGATTGTCAACTTCTGTGCCCGTGTAGTGACAGGGAAGCGCCGTTTCGACCATATTAGCGGTGAGATACAGCGGCTCCGTTGGCTCAAGGTAGAGCAGCTGATCGACTACCACATCGTGTGTGCGCTGGCGAGTGTCATCGTGACCCAGCAGCCTGAGTACCTATGTGGAACTATTGGACCGAGATCGAGCCAAAGGCACACCTACAGAACGAGACAAGCCGATCTATTCAGCCGCCCCAACATACGCACTGAATCCGGTAGGCGGAGAATGTGTTACCGTGGCGTGACACTGCTCAACGGTATAGGGGCAGATCCCTGTGAGCCCGGGTTCCGTAGAGCTGTCAGAGCGGTCGTCGGATCTGTCGATCCTCAGTGATGATCGGAGTGAGTTGATGTATGAGTGGTATGCGTGTGGAACGTGAATGTGGCCTAAATTCGTCCTTTTTGTACTTGTAACTGACGTGAAAGAGTGAAAAGTCATGGTGAGTGGACTTCTTTTGAATAAATCTGAATCTGAATCTGAATCATGCTATTATCGAGGAAGACCTTTCTGAAGCACCACGAGGGTCCTTACCGTGAGACCCCGCCGCCACCCCGATCAATAGGCGGCGGTGGGCGCTGTCTCGTCTGGCCACTGATCAGTAGTCTGACTGCGACAGGCCGGCGACCGATGTCGAACCGCCCGGCAGAGCCATTTCCTCTGGGTACGTGCCCGGCGCCCCGAACCGCGGCTCCGCTCCCCGTGCGGCACTCGGAGGCGGCCCCGCTGGCACATCCATCACCGATGGACGTCGGACGGTGGCAGCCCTGACCAGTGACCGGGGTGGTCACATCAGTCGGACGGTGGCAGCCCTGGACCGGGGCGGTCACATCAGTCGGACGGTGGCAGCCCTGACCAGTGACCGGGGCGGTCACATCAGTCAGACGGTCACACGACCGACCCCGGGGCGGTCGCATCACGCATCAGTCACATCGCTGGTCTGGTCGCATCAGCCGTCAGTCACATCGCTGGTCCGGTCAGTCACGTCACTGACCAGGCCGGCCGGTACCATGACTGTCACATACTGTGCCGCGGCGCCAGTTTTTGTCCCAGTCCACTGTTTGCTCTGCACTCGGTCTGTCGGTGCTGCGGGACGCAATGGGAACAGGAAGAGGTCAACATTCTCCAGTGGGTGGGCAGGGCTGGCGGGCAGCCTGTAGCCGGGGCTGGCGGGACTGGTCGGTCTCCACTGAACCCAGCACGACAGATCCACCCTGCCCCCGGTGGCCGCCCTGCCCCGGACAGATCCACCCCGCCCCCGGCGGCCGCGCTGCCCCGGACAGAGCCGCCCTGCATGCCCCGTACAGATCCACCCTGTCCAGGACAGATCCACCCCGCCCCCGGCGGCCGCGCTGCCCCAGACAGATCCACCTTGCCCCCAGCGGCCGCGCTGCCCCCGGACAGATCCAGCCCGCCCCCGGCGGCCACCCCGCCCCGGACCGATCCACCCCGCCCCCGGCGGCCGCGCTGCGTGATAGGTCACGCTGCTGCAATGTGCTCTGCAGTGCCATTTGGGCCGCGGCCGTACCCGCGCCGATATATTTGGTTCTGCTATATACGGCCCGTCGTAAGGGAGCCAGCCGTGGTTAACAGCCGGGAATAGGCAGCCTGACATTTTGTCGTGCCTGGTGAGTGAGCACTGCCTCTGAAGACCCATCCGAGGCGAACCGACCCGGGTGTTGTTGTTGGTCGTGCATCCGAAGCAGACTCAGTTAGTCTCTGTTGTTGACGTTGCGCTGGACCTGGCTGAAATAGCTGTGTCCGTGGGTGTCGTCTGGAGGGGCGTGTCGCCGTCTGTCTGTCTGCCGCTGTAACTTTCCGCTGGGCACCAGACGCCGCGGTCCGCGGAACGCTGTGCGCGGAATTCCGCGCTGAGTCGCGGGCGGACTCGGCACATCAGCTGAGAGCGCCTCGGTGCCGCCGAGGTGCTCTCGTCTGCCCGACCGGCGCCTTTGATGTCTGCGGCGGGACCGAGACAACGAGTCCGGTCGTCGTGCTCGGTAAACAAGGGCCCACCTTTAGATGTGCGCAATTCAACGGACTTGTAAGCATATAAGGTATGCCGGGCTTGTGTAGCCAGAGGGATAATACCTACTCTTTTTTACAAATCAAAATGCAGCTCCTGAAGCGGCGCTAGGCATTTGCTGCGGAGCAAGGTGGTTGGAAAAAATGGTCACTAAGTCGGCTGTCTGTCTGGTGTATTCTGCTGCGATCAGTCCCCCGGTGGCCTTGTGGATTTTTTCTGATAAAACCACTTACATTTATGCGACGAAGATAGGCGCCGTTTTTTTTTTCTTCTGACCGAGATGGTCTGAGGAGCTCGTCAGTTTGAACTAAAGTGGCCCGCTCAGAGTTGTCGCATGCTCGCTGATACCGGCCTTGGGCCATCAGGATTCAGGCTCTCCTTATCGCTAGGTCAGTTTTGGTTAGCAGGTCTTCGGGGCATCCATCAGGCATCAGCTGCTCTTTCAGCATGTCCCTCCCCAATTCATAGTTGGGCCTTGCCCCTTCCCTCCTTGTCCCTTGGGAACCTTGTTCGTAAGCGTCGCGTCCGTAAACCTTATCCTCGTCCGCGGTAATTGGTGCGTCAGATGACCCGGCAAACGTGATCTGCCAGTGCTCTCCCGGTATTGATTGACCTGTCTTCTGATACACTCTCCTCACCTACCGTGCTCCGCCTTCCCAGCAATGGGTCTGTTCCAGTCGCACTTCCTAACACCTCTAAACTCCTCCAATATTGCTTCCCTGTTCCAGTGGCAGCTCTAGCCCCTACAAAGCCAAGGAGGGCCCTGCTCCAACCTATCTTGCTCTTGGAGGAGTTTAGAGGTGTTAGGAAGTGCGACTGGAACAGACCCAATGCCGCGCCTGCTGCCGTGATACGTAATTGAGTCACCGCTCAGCTCCGTCACTGACCAGGCGTGCCGAGCAGCGCGGACCAGGCGTGCCGAGCAGCGTGGCTACAATGGAGCTGCCGGTCTGTTACCACTGATATTGGGGCAGTGGACGGGTTCGGGCGCGGAGACGGTCTCTCGCTGGGTCCAGTATAAACTGGTGGTGACGGACGAGCTATTAAATCGGGGCGGGATGGGCGGGTATCTGCCAGGCGTTAAATCGAGGCTGGACGGGCGCTGGTCCAGGTTGGCGGCCGCGCTTTGGAGCTGTGTGTGACGCCGGTTGCTGGGGGCTAAAGGGACTGAATCGGTGCTAGGCTGGGACAGGCTGACACGACGAATTTGGAAAATGACAGACAGGCTGTCAGTGGAGACGGGAGACAGTGAGAGGAGAAAACAGAGTGGGTCAGAAATGAGCAGGGTGAAACTGATGACGATCTGAAACGATGCCCGGTGGTGCGTGTGTGGTGAGATGGTGCGGGTGTGCGGCAGAAACGGTCCCCCCAGTCCCGACGTGCGACCAGTCCCGACTGTGTAAATGGACACTGGGCAGCGGTACATCGTTAGTACCGCTAATTGAACACAGACGCACGGGACGGCGTCGTTCTCAGAGGTGACAGCAATAACCGCCTCCAGAAATAGCGAGTGTATACTGCTCGGCGACTTCTTCCACGCAGCAGCAAAAAGCTGCGCCTCGCTGGATGTCAGTATTTGCAGGAGTGAGCGCGTCAGACGCCGAGCTGTGAATGTCACTCAGGCTTTGTTTTCGGTTGATCTGTAGCACCGGCTGTCAATGCACTGAGTCGAGTCACCTGCAGTGCCGGATAGCGACAATCGGCATTCATGGTATGCGGCCCCCTCCTTTGTTATTCAGTCTTGCAATTTAGCATTGAGATGTTGCGTGTAGGCGCCATCGCCCCTTGTAGAACACGGCAGCTTTACACAGATAGCAATGCTCTGGCTCCGGGAGACAGGCCGACGCGTTTCTGCGGCCGGTCAGATGTGCGCTCTGCGCCGCTGTTGATTGGGAAGTACGGGCTGGTTTTTGTTGTCTTCAATTGGATCGTGCGTCCGCTCCAGCGCTGACACTGGTGGCCTGTTGTACGATTTGCTGTTATCGCCTGCCTCCAAGCTAAAGAGCGACAGTAGGTCGATACCCACCGGCCGGACAAGCTGATATTTTATTTATCACGGGCTGCGGTAATCAATAAGTTTCCTAGTCTTGTGTGGTGTGCTTCACTTCACCGGAAATTCTAGGCATTTTCATTTATAATATACCGAGATGCGATTGCGGTTCAGACATACACCTCCGTTTACTAAGCTATGCTCCAGTTATAGGCGATAACCGCGTAGAGCTTCTCCGTTACCAATATTGGAGCAGTGCTGTGTGGATGCGATGTGTTCGTGCGCGCCTCTTAGGTAGCGCCGGCTCTCGTCGCTCAATATAGCGCCCGTCATCTTAGTCCTCTCTGCCGCCGCTGCTCGGGTGACGCCTTATGCACGCGGCCCGGCGACCTTTCGCGAGCGGCGCCTGCCCTGCCGGCGCGTTATTGGCCCGCCGTTATTACGGCCCGATGGCTCCTCGGAGACGGGGCTCGTTACAGCACGATGATCGCCGATCTGCGACCCGACGCCAGCAGCATCTAAAGATGCATTGGCCCAGAACATTGGCTGCGACACGAAGGGCTCTATGTATAATATCAAGCATCAATCCATGTGTATGCTACAGTTTGGTGTCATGTCTACTAAAGGTCACCGTAACTAGCCTGCTGCTGCTGTCTGCATCCACTGCAATGAGGCGGTTTCTGTTCCACCCTACGCACTGTGTGTGGGACGGGTTTTGTTGACTGTACGGACTGTGTGTGGCGGGCTGTTTTGTCTGACAGTGAGCTGTATGTTCTGACGCCGCCCTCTCTCCCTTCACAGGGACGAGGCGCGGCAGCTGGTGCGCAGCGCCGTGCAGGCCTCTGAGCACGACGCGGTGCTGTTCTGCGGCTCCGGGGCCACCGGCGCCGTGCACAAGCTGCTGGCGCTGCTACGACTGCCGCAGCCGCCCATTGTGCTGGTCGGACCGCACGAACACCACTCGAACCTGCTGCCCTGGAGGGAGGTGGCGCACCAGGTGAGGGAACTGGGGGAGGGAGGTAGCCCACCAGGTGAGGGAACTGGGGAGGGAGGTGGCGCACCAGGTGAGGGAACTGGGGAGGGAGGTGGCGTACCAGGTGAGGGAACTGGGGAGGAATGTGGCGCACCAGGTGAGGGAACTGGGGAGGAGGTGGCGCACCAGGTGAGGGAACTGGGGAGGGAGGTGGCGCACCAGGTGAGGGAACTGGGGAGGGAGGTGGCGCACCAGGTGAGGGAACTGGGGAGGGAGGTGGCGCACCAGGTGAGGGAACTGGGGAGGGAGGTGGCGTACCAGGTGAGGGAACTGGGGAGGGAGGTGGCGCACCAGGTGAGGGAACTGGGGAGGGAGGTGGAGTACCAGGTGAGGGAACTGGGGAGGGAGGTGGCGCACCAGGTGAGGGAACTGTGGGAGGGAGGTGGCGTACCAGGTGAGGGAACTGGGGAGGGAGGTGGCGTACCAGGTGAGGGAGCTGGGGAGGGAGGTGGCGCACCAGGTGAGGGAACTGTGGGAGGGAGGTGGCGTACCAGGTGAGGGAACTGGGAAGGGAGGTGGCCCACCAGGTGAGGGAACTGTGGGAGGGAGGTGGCGTACCAGGTGAGGGAACTGGGGAGGGAGGTGGCGTACCAGGTGAGGGAACTGGGGAGGGAGGTGGCGCACCAGGTGAGGGAACTGTGGGAGGGAGGTAGCCCACCAGGTGAGGGAACTGGGGAGGGAGGTGACGCACCAGGTGAGGGAACTGTGGGAGGGAGGTAGCCCACCAGGTGAGGGAACTGTGGAGGGAGGTGGCGCACCAGGTGAGGGAACTGTGGAGGGAGGTGGCGTACCAGGTGAGGGAGCTGGGGAGGGAGGTGGCGCACCAGGTGAGGGAACTGTGGGAGGGAGGTGGCGTACCAGGTGAGGGAACTGGGGAGGGAGGTGGCGTACCAGGTGAGGGAACTGGGGAGGGAGGTGGCGCACCAGGTGAGGGAACTGTGGGAGGGAGGTAGCCCACCAGGTGAGGAACTGGGGGAGGAGGTGGCGCACCAGGTGAGGGAACCGTACCTATCCTGGAGGGAGGTGGCGCACCAGGTGAGGGAAGCACACCTGATACCCTGGAGGGAGGCTAACACAGAGCTGTTGTCGTGAAGGGAGGCAAACACAGCTGCTGCCGATGCAGAGGGATTGAATAGCAAACACGAGATGTGTAGCGGGACCTAACCGGATCTCGCTGGGTCTAGAAGACACTCTAAGGGGAACTATCTGAGAACACAGATCGTTGTAGATAAATTCCTGCACGCAGAGGACGCTCACTGAACCTATAGGACACTTATTGGGGGGGGGGGGCGCTGAACTTCCAGACAGTTTCAGGGGGTAAGTCGGGTGACAGGACACTGCCGGCCGGGACCGGTGGAGCCCCACCCGGGCCGGGGGCCGACGGAAGCCGCTGATGGCGCCATTATGGATGGCCTCCCGCCCGTAATGTCGCCCGAGCTGCTTTTGTTATTCAGTCGCGAGTACACGTCCCGCGGCCTTGGATGGCCCAGTGTTTACTGCACGGCTAGATTTGGCTCGGACGACCTGCCCATGGCATTGAAAGCCAGGTGTTTATGTTCCCAAATATTTGTGCCGGCGTCTCGTGTCGATCGGTTTATGGCTTAGGTATGCCATTGGCTTTTCACAGACGGTTTCAGACTGTAGCTGTGCTGCCATATTTGCTGGTAGCTCGCTAATTCTCTGAGATGATATTGTAGCCGGGTCCTGAAACGATTTTGACAGGTCACGTAATGCATAATGCATTTTATTCGTTTTTTATCTGTAATAGTTTGTCTCGTGTGCTGATATTGATATCATGTTAGTTTTTATTCACTGGCCACTGCGATGATTATTTTTTTTAGATTGGGTCCTAATGTCTCTTAGTGTTGACTGTCAATATTCCCAAGTGCTTCGGCTATCTTGGCTGTTGTGTTAGCACGGAATTCTCAGACGTCATATCCTCACATTGACGTAGATGTAGTTGATCGCCGGCTGCGTCGGGGGACCTGTCTCGTCCAGACACCAAGTAATCAGCCCGTCAGTCAGTTAGCAGCTAGTGGAACATTTCGTCAGGCGCGGTTTGGACTGAGCTCGGTGATAGAGCGAATATTCAACGTATTTGTACGGCACAGCCGATGTGCTGCACACTGCGCACCGCAGCTTACAGGATGTCATGTTCGTATTGGATCACGGCATATCACTGCCTCACATTAGGCATCCAAACATGATTATGTGCACATTTTACATCGTATTACCTATGCAAATCTTACTTTTGGCTGAGCCCCGTGACTTATCTACCTGCATTATGCATACGTTATGTTGATGCTACATTAGTTTTCGGAATGTCTAAGCAGGAGCGGTAAAGCTCTTATCATTGGGTGAATTGTTTTGACGGCTGTCGCCTGGATTCCGTCTGTCCCAGTTTCTGCCCCCCCCCCCCGCTGCCGGCCTTTGGCGGAGCGGCGGGGGTCGGAGCGGCTCCCGGGGCGCTCTGAAGCCCCCCGACGGGAGCCATCAGCTGATCGATGGCCGGCAACGGCTCCGCCAAGGTTGCCCCGGCACAGATCGCCCGCCGGCCGACCGGTCACCGGCTGCAACAGGACCTGGGAATGGACGGTGGGCCGTGGGTACGAATCTTCGGCAGCTGGTGACGGACCGTGGGTAGCTGGGGATGGACCGTGGGCAGCTGGGACGGACTGTGGAGTGTGGACAGCTGGGGACGGACTGTGGGCAGCTGGGAATGGATCGTGGGCAGGTGAGGACGGACCATGGACAGCTGGGGACGGACCGTGAGCAGCTGGGGACGGACTGTGGGTAGCTGGCCACGGACTGTGGGTGCTGCCGGGAGCGTGGGACGGACCCGGGGCTATTGCCAATGGCAGTTGTCGTTCGCTGCCGATGCTGTGTCCGATATGGCTTAGCGAACTCTCACGATGCGGGTTACTCAAGCATTAACGGGACGTTGAATCGTGATTAGCGGGCCGAGGTGACACGACGCGACACCGAGCCAGTGGGGTCCAGGGAAGGGGGAGGAGGAGGGGGGGGGGCGATAACGAGAAGGGTGGAGAAGAACAAACAGAACCGCGGCGGCCCGCCGTGGTCGGCCGATAACACGCGCAGTGTGAGCCGAGCCGCGGTGTACAAGGGGTGCGCGGAGTGTTTCTCGCGCGGCGCGCGACGAACGCGATATAAGTGCTCGGTTTGGTGTACGGAATAACAGGACAACATCAACGGAGCGACAGGAGACGGACGCAGGATGACAGGTGGGCGCAGCGATAGGCTGCGGGGGGGAAGAATCTAGGTAGAACGGCCACGAGGAGACGGGATAGGGGGGGGGGTGGGACCGTTCGACGGGCGCTATAGAAGTGGGCGTGACGGAGAGGGGCGGGTATCTAGCTGACCACGACACCGTGCGCCTAGAGAGGCCAGCATCTGTGGTCCCCGTCGTGCCATGGCCACGGCCGACGGGTGTGACCTGATCCGTATATGCCGTGTGCACAGGAGGACCTGGCAACTGTGGTCCCCGTCGTGTCATGGCCACGGCCGACGGGTGTGACCTGATCCGTATATGCCGTGTGCACAGGAGGACCTGGCAACTGTGGTCCCCGTCGTGTCATGGCCACGGCCGACGGGTGTGACCTGATCCGTATATGCCGTGTGCACAGGAGGACCTGGCACTCTGTGGTCCCCGTCGTGTCATGGCCACGGCCGACGGGTGTGACCTGATCCGTATATGCCGTGTGCACAGGAGGACCTGGCAACTGTGGTCCCCGTCGTGTCATGGCCACGGCCGACGGGTGTGACCTGATCCGTACATGCCGTGTGAACAGGATGACCTGGCAACTGTGGTCCCCGTCGTGTCATGGCCACGGCCGACGGGTGTGACCTGATCCGTACATGCCGTGTGAACAGGATGACCTGGCAACTGTGGTCCCCGTCGTGCCATGGCCACGGCCGACGGGTGTGACCTGATCCGTATATGCCGGGTGCACAGGAGGACCTGGCAACTGTGGTCCCCGTCGTGTCATGGCCACGGCCGACGGGTGTGACCTGATTCGTACATGCCGTGTGAACAGGATGACCTGGCAACTGTGTTCCCCGTCGTGTCATGGCCACGGCCGACGGGTGTGACCTGATCCGTACATGCCGTGTGAACAGGATGACCTGGCAACTGTGGTCCCCGTCGTGTCATGGCCACGGCCGACGGGTGTGACCTGATCCGTACATGCCGTGTGAACAGGATGACCTGGCAACTGTGGTCCCCGTCGTGTCATGGCCACGGCCGACAGGTGTGACCTGATCCGTACATGCCGTGTGAACAGGATGACCTGGCCACTGTGGTCCCCGTCGTGCCATGGCCACGGCCGACGGGTGTGACCTGACCCGTATATGCCGTGTGCACAGGAGGACCTGGCAACTGTGGTCCCCGTCGTGTCATGGCCACGGCCGACGGGTGTGACCTGATCCGTACATGCCGTGTGAACAGGATGACCTGGAAACTGTGGTCCCCGTCGTGTCATGGCCACGGCCGACGGGTGTGACCTGATCCGTACATGCCGTGTGAACAGGATGACCTGGCAACTGTGGTCCCCGTCGTGCCATGGCCACGGCCGACGGGTGTGACCTGATCCGTATATGCCGTGTGAACAGGAGGACCTGGCAACTGTGGTCCCCGTCGTGCCATGGCCACGGCCGACGGGTGTGACCTGATCCGTATATGCCGTGTGCACAGGAGGACCTGGCAACTGTGGTCCCCGTCGTGTCATGGCCACGGCCGACGGGTGTGACCTGATCCGTACATGCCGTGTGCACAGGAGGACCTGGCAACTGTGGCCCCCGTCGAGCCATATCTGGCCCGACGACGGGTATGACCTGACACGTGACGTAACTCGCGAGTTCTACCCGGCAGGTAATGGTGCGAACTGATCCAGAACAGGCGGGCACGTGTAGGAGAGGGGCGGGTATCTAGTGGCCTCCATCGGGGC